ATCGTGGCAACTTCTCTTCCCTGCAAATATTGACAGAGTGTTTTCCCCAGTTGATGTATTAACACGGACCCAGCCGGGCCGGCATTCATGCAGCTGTGGAGGCCTTGAAGTGTCCCCAGAAGGTTTTCACTGATGTTATTTGCAGAGAGAACTGACTAGTTCCCGTTGCTTTGAGAACAAAGAATGAGCAGAACAAGGAGGGATCACAAGAGGTGAGGTTTTAAAGCAAATGCTTAGACTGTGTAATGAAGATTTAATTCAAATCCAAACCTTCTAACAGATAAACGGGTGGGGGGAGGGAAACAGACCACTTTAATTGGGTTTGCTTTGCATTACCTTTTGGAAGCTCTGATAATCTCAGTGATGATTTTAGTTTGTGTGGCATATTACAGAGTTGGTTCTCATAAACTAGCATCTTTGAGGTCTGCAATCAGGGGTGGGGAGTAATGGAGCCTGCAGAAGGGCAGCCATGAAACAAAGATTAGTTTCTCCCCTCTCTGCATCTCCCCAACCTACCTAGTCTTGTCTCTGCTTCACATCCTCAGGAAGACACTGTTCATTGGTTAAACCACTCTATGGTTTTCCAGCTTCCCTTGCAGCTAGAGATGCCACGGGACATGGATCTAGTCAAGGGGATACAAGCATGTTGACTGCTGGGGCAGTCTTATAAAAGCTAGAAGGCAACTTTACCCTTTCTATCCCTCTTGTTACTGCCTTAATTATCAACTTGATGCTACAGCAGCCATCTGGTGACCATGAGGGAAAGAACAAGAGAACCGTAAACAAACAAGCCCCAGAATCCTGACGTCTGAGTTGCTGATGTAATTGTCAAAACCACCTGCCTTAGGACTTGTTATGTTGTAAAACTGAACATCACGTTTAAGTCCCAGTTAGTGGATGTCTGTTACTTGCAGCTAAAAAACCCTCCTAAACTAAATATACCTGGGTGTTATTATCTCCATTATTCAGAGAAGGAAACACTGATGTATTTTCCAAGGCCCCACTGCAAATCCACAGAATGTGCTCTGGTTCCTCAGGCTTTGTCCTGACCTCTCCCCACTATTTCACAGCTGCCTCCAGAAATTGCTGCTGGCACAAATTCCATGTAGGAGAAACTTTGTCAGAATGGCTAGTACTTCATTCAAGCAGTTCATGTGTTTTCCTGAGTCAATGGTCCACGTTTTTGTGCAGCAAGAAGGCCTCCTCAATTAATTTCAGCTACTAACCTGTTGGGACTCTGCTCACAGGCGTGAGCTGCATAGCCTTGGAGCAGTCTCTCCTCTCTCTGGACTTGTTTCTGCTTCTGCAAAGTGGGAGTTTTTGAGCTGCAACTTTTAGAAGTCACAGACCTCTTTGGGAATTGATGAAGAAAGACCAGGCACCATCTCCCTAGAAAATAAACTGGAGTGGGATATTTTGCAGAAAGACTTGGGGGATAGGGGACTATACCCAGGGGCCTTTGAAGATATGTAGAGGTGGGAATATTCAGCTGGAGGCTTCTAAGGCTGCTTTCAATTCTGATTTGCTGGTGCCTGTTCTTTGTCTGAAGCAAGACTGGCCCTGAGTCAGGATAGCCGCAGAGACCTGGACACGGTGACAAGGTGTGGAAAGAAAGGTAGCATGAATGACAGCGTGGGAAAGACAGCCTCTGTGTTTCGGTTCTTTTATTCCATCAAAGATTAGTACTACATCAAAGAGTGAGTCTCAGTTGGATGCTGGAGGCTACTTACCACCTCCCTGGCTCAGGAATCCTCTTTATCAGAGATAGACCTCCTTCAGCATCTTCAGAAGGCAACAGCATCCAGCCAGAATGCAATGCCTATGTTTTGGTTTCATTACATTTTTTCTAGCCATTTGTTTTAACTTTTATTCTTGAAGCAGAGAGCATAAATGGGAATACACAGGAACACTCACCTATTGCTGCCTCCCCTCTCCCCCCACAGCCCCTAGCCACTGGCTCACTCCAAAGGCAGTCACTATGCGCTCTGTGTTCTTCCAGAAATGTTTGATGTGTATCTCCGCAAGCATATGTAAATATGTGCTCTTGTATTTATTTTAAAAATTAATCTCTCTGGCTAGTGAAACTAGTTTCCGAGTACGATTTTGATATGTAGTTTTCTTTACAAATAAATGTGTTTACATTTAAAAGGAGGATCACTTTTGAAGTATAGTGCTAAGTAAATATCCAGAGATGAGAAAAAGTGCGACTAGGTGTGCAGTGACGTAGAAAAGTGGTGGAGTCCCAGGGATCCTCTCCAGCTCTGCTCTCTGGAGGGAGTAGGCTTCCCTCCCTTCCTCTGTCAAGGGTGCTGGAAGGTCCTTTGTTGAGATTTGTGCTCCCTGCTGAAGAGCAAGACCTCCCTTGCCCCTGGGAAGAGGGCACAGATCCTTTCCATGATGGCTCCCAGTCATGGCAGGGACTCTGGAGGTGGGACCTGGGCCTCCACTCTTCTGCAGAACGTCAGCGCATTTGGGATCTCTATTTCCATTGTTACATCCACATGTTGGAGGTTTGGCTAGATCATTTCTCACATGTATTTGCTTCCAGAAAGTGTCACCTGGACACCACTCTTCCTGCTATGTAAGGGACTGTGGTGCAAGTATAATCTCAGGTGCAGATATGTGCTCGGGTGCAGGTATGTGCACATGTGCAGATGTGTGCTCAGGTGCAGGTATGTGCACATGTGCAGATGTGTGCTCAGGTGCCGATATAAACTCAGGTGCAGGTGTATGCTCATGTGCAGGTGTGCACACAGGTGCAGGTGGGTGTCCTCCTGCCTGAGCTCTGTGGGTCACCATGTGTCTGAGAAAAGCAGCAGAGAATTTGAGCATAACTCAAAACATGTTGCAGCAACACTGCATTGGTATCGGGCAGCACTTAATATTTATGAATAAAATATGAATGCATTTCATTTATGCACTAATGAATGTCATTACAGAGATAATTAACACTTGTTCTTCTCAGATACAACACCTCATGAATCTAATGGAGCAAAGTTTAAAGGGAGCTCCATGCTGTCATTATCCGTAACTAAATCCAAATTTGGGGAAATACATGCAGACTCTCAAAATGACCTTTATAACTCTAAGCATGTACAATTCTTAGAGTTTGAGGGGGCGGCTCTGAATTTAAGTGGGACACATGTGCCACTGCACAGAGCAGCGATGAGATCAATTTCAACAGGATCGGGGGAAACATACTCAGAAAATGCCTGTTCTTGTCATGGCTCGTCACTCTGGGATATGCCACGTTCCTGTGATCACTGCATTCTTGCTCCTTCATTTATTTGTTGGAGGGGTCACCAGCCCCCCAAGCCCACCTTGGTCCCTTCTGGTAACCACCATGCTGTTTTGCTCTTCATAGTGCACAAACCAGTGAAATACTTGTCTTTCTCTTTCTGGCTTATTTCATGTAACATGATCCCCATGAGGTCCATCCATGTCGTCACAAATGGCAGGTTTCACCTTTTTCATGGCTGAGTAGTATTTCATTGGGTATATATCTGTAGCCAATCACCCCACTCAGGCACCTGAGTTATTTCCTTATCTTGGCTACAGAAATAGTTCAGACAGGTATGAAATGGTATCTCACAGCAGTTAATTTAGATTTCTCATCAGAGAGGTTGCTGTTTTGATGACTTTCTACCACCATTAACATTTGAATCAAGGATTCCTGACAGAGGCGGAGATTAACAAGCTCCCTACATGGCCATCAGCCATCTCTGCCAGGTCCTTACACAAATGTTAAGAGACTCTACCTGCTGAGCCAATTACACAAATCTTCTGAGTGCCCCTCGTGCTCTTACAGGTTACAAGCCTAGAAGCTGTGGTTTTACAGGTGAGAAGCCCTAATTTATCTAGAAGTGGTGACTCATGTCAGGCTCCAAGCAGAGTTCATTTAAAGTGCTCTGGAGAGAACCAAGGGGATCTGGGTAGACGGGGCAGCCCAGGGCAGGGAGGTGAGGACTGGAGTGGACATGGGGCAGAAGGAAGGTGTGGCCAGAGGAGCAAAAGAAAGCAGAGGTCAGTCTGCAGGAAAGGACAGGCTACGGACAGGACAGCATGGGCGTATTTATAGGACTTTGCAAAAGCCCGAGGGCTTGGAGCAAGGCAAGTCTGAGCAGCAAAATTCTGGCTGCAGCATGGAAATAAATTGGCAGGAGACCGCCAGTTAGCGAAAGTGCTAAAACACCTCAGACAAGGTATTTGTTCATGGTGCTGACACCGCTCCATGGCACGTGAAAAACCACAAGTTCCAGGAACCGCAATAGCGGCCCTGAAAGCTTCCACTTGTCAGACAACAGGGAGTCCGTGTGGCCTGGGGGCCAACTCCAAAGCTACAGACCTCTGGGTTCAAGACCTAGCGGCACCAATAGTGCGGTGACCCTGAGGTGGGAATCCCCGCCTCGGGCTGTTGTTAAGGATGATGTCAGTCTACATGGCCAGTCACAGGGCCTGGTGCACACACGAAGCTGTGCCTGTCAGCGTGCTGTGCTCTCAGGGTGGGACAGAAATACACTCTGGAAAGGTATTTGGGTAAAGGATTAACACAGCACAGGAGTTTCTGCTTGACAAGTGACATGTAAGGGACGAAGCACATGTGAGTGCATGACCAGAGCCTGACCATCCACACGGATGGAAACACTTACCAAGCGCCTGTTTTCATGTGTGAGCCCACCAGGGGCTGGGGGCAGACTGCACTCCCTCCAGCGCCATGCGGGGAGGTAACTGATCCAGCCTTGGGTGTGTTAAGTGCTGGGATACCTGGAGCTGGCTGGGGTGAGGGTGGTGGTCTTGCCACCCTGGAGACTCACGCTGATGGTCAGATGTGGACAAGCTGTGAAGTGGGGAAGCCAACACCGCTGCACATCAGCCTCAGCAGATGGCGGGCGGGGCGCACCATGGCCCACCCAGCACCCCATCCTGGCTCTCGTGACTATCGCCGCTCACCTTATACCGACACCAACGCCGCCAACCCGTAAGAAGGCAACAGGGAGGATAGCAATACTTTTAATGTTTCACATTGTTTTCTCAGAAGATTTGTAATAAAAATACATGGAATTTAGTACGGGTTTTAACACATTGGGCTACGACAGAATCTAAACAAGACAAGTCTATAAAGTACGATCCTTCCTGTGGGGGCAGAGCCTCCCACGTGCCACTAAGAAGAGAGAATCACAACATGATCAGGTGCAGCGGCTCACGCGGCTACGTTCCAATTCCAGAGACTGGCAGACTTGGAGGAAAAACGAATCAAACCAATAAATAAAGCAGCGACAGTCGGCCACCTCATTCCCCGGGTCCTTTCTTCCTTTTTCTGTTTTCTTCACAGACCCGGATGGGAGGGTGGGCGTGAAGCAGCGCCCTGCGGGTGAGGGCCGGGCACTCTGCTGACCAAAGGCCAGGCCGGCCCAGATGTGCCCGCGGTGACCCAGAAGCGCGCTTGGGACCAGCCGCCGGCGCTGCAGCCAAGATGCGCGCAGGAGGGAATCACAAGAACTGGGAACTGCCGATTGGAGGCGGGTGTCCACAGCACGTGTCTGGAGTCCAAATACACAAAGACGGCCTCCTCCTCAGGATGGCGCACAGGGCCTGTAACTGTGAGCGAGCACCTCTTTGCCATAACACAAGCCGGAACGCGGCGAGGCACAGACACGCCGGCCACACTCCGCCAGGTGCAGCTGTTCTTTCAACAGAGAAAGTCAACACCATTCGGTTTTTAAATGAAAATCCTTCACATCCACCTGTGTTCAATAATAACTTAGGCTATTAACAGCTTCTTTTAAAAAGCAATGACTGCGCGAGGGCTAACATAGGCGTGGGAAGGCCTACGAGTGTGGCTCCTGGGAGGGGAGAGCTACCTGACACACCAGGAAAGTCGAGTCGTCCTCGGTGGGGTTTGGCTTAACGCCACAGCTACCACGAAGAAAGCCTTCCACAGGTGTTTTCCTTTGCAAGAGATCTCAGCTCACTTAGACCAACACACAAGCTAAGTAAAGGGAGATTTACTCCTCTTTTCCCCGTTTAAGATGTGACTCTCACGCACACCGCGACGAAGCCGGCCTGTCCCACCCGGCTCCGTGCAGCCTCGGCCAAGCAGCCATTTCCTTGCCCGAACACAACTAGGAAAGTAGCAATCATCAGTGATGTAGTGCACGGGGGCGAATTTGGTCAGAGACGGTCATGAATTTGCCTGGACACGGCCTATCGGGAGCCACTGCTGCAGAGGTGGGGGAAGCCAGCACTCGGGAGCCCCGGGACAGCCTCTTGCACAGGACAAGTGAGCCATCTCGAGTCTTCCACGCAACGAGCCACTTTGTTTGCACTATCCAGCCCTAACTTGCTCATGGACAGAAATCAGCTGCTAACACTTTTCATTTCTAGTTATCATTAATACCATGGAGAAAAAAGGAAAAAAGTAATCAACATTAAAAAGCTAGAAGAGAGAGTGAGCACCCACAAAGGTGAGGGCGCCGAAACTGCCCCAGCAGACGATCCGTCACTGCCCACCCACACGGGCTTGAGGCCGGTGACTTCATGGATGCATGCTCCGATGCTCTGCCGAGTCAGTTCCCAGTCTGTCATGGTGACCCCAGTGGGATGCTGCCTGCCTTCCGCTTACCACCTCCTACCCACGACATCCAAGGGGCCTCGGGTGGTGGAGGCACAGGACACACAGGTGCCCAGGTCCGAGAACCTTCCCCAAAACTTGGCCTTGGATTTGGCACGGGGATGTCCGTGGTGCGGAGTCATGGCGACAGCATCCACACTGGGGCTTAACCTCAGCAGCCAGCCTGGAGGATGCCCCCTCCGGAGCGCTTCGTCACAGACAGCGTCGTGAATACCTGCCGGGAGGAGAAAGCAGAAGAGGGTCAGACCCTGAGCCAATGAGCTAACGGGGTACAGTTCAGACAACACCATACAGAGTAAGAATGACCTGGGCGCCTACTCAAAATGAACAAAGCAGAAGGAAGAGAATGAAGGAAATCCTCTAATTCTCCAGAGATGAAAACGGGGAAGCGTTCTAAAAGCAAGATGAAAGTGAAAAAAAGCCATTTAGGCATAGCTAATGAACTTTCTGACCATGAAGGTAAATTAAAACAAAATAACCACACAAACGCTTTTCAATACTCTAGAAGCAATGCATCATAAAATATCTTGGATACCTAGAAAGGTATAAAGGCTATTTTTAACAAACCTACTTGTTCAACCAACCAGTTCAGAAATTTGCAGATATGGTTAGAGTCACGTGTGCACCCCTATCACCTCCTTCCCTGCCCCCCATCCGTGCCTGCCATTCCTATGCATTTCTCCCCTAGGTTTTTAACTTTACATGTGAATGACAAGCTGGTGTGTGGGCACTTGTGCTGCCTGTTTTCTTGGTTCCATACTGTATTTCTGTAATTCACCTATACAGACACAAAGTTCAATCCTTCCATTATTCACACAAGACTATTCAACCACGGTAATACAGTACTGATATTGTGTACTACAGTATTCAGGTCTTCACACAGTGAAGATATTACAAATTACATATCCAAGCTTCTGTTGCTTGGCCATCCAAACTATTTATGGTCAACATGCTATTTGTAATATGCCCTGTGACCTGCCAGAATGCCTCCTGTACCCAGAGCTGGAGCTATACAACTCCGTGGAGTCCACCTGTCCTACCCTAAAAAGCTGACCTTCCAAGCCATTAAGTGTCTTACTGAGAATGGAGACCACAGCTTATTTGGGAGAATCCCAGTGAAGGAAGACTCCTGAGTGCCTGCATCCTTGTGGGCACATTTAGACAAACTTTGGTCAGCTGCCCCTTTAATTCCTGAGACACAACTGGTTTCCTGGTTTTTAACACAAAGAACACACATACAATTCAAGGTCACTTTGACTCTATATAGTGAAAGCAATAGGAATCAGCATCCAACACTTTTGAATAAAAGGGTAAAATACTTTTGTACTAAGGAGGACCTTGACTGAGAAAGCCCTTTGTCTGCTTCAGCTTTAAAGAGACAAAGTATTTTTACTTCTGAAAGCTCTTCAGCACCTCAAAAACTTCAGACCCCAGTAACACAGCCAGTATCTCAAAACATGTAAAATATGAACAGTTCACATCCAAAAAAATAACTCTAAGAGGTCCATCCTTGTTAGCAAAGACACATGGAAATCCTTGAAATAGTTATCCCTTTGATACTACTATGGAGAAATATATTTACACTGAATTTTCTAAGTTTCATTAGCACTCTCAAATTCAGTGCTAATGACACCGTAAGGAAGTACACTCTTTGAAAAGCAATAAAATTCCTTTGTTTGAAAAATGTGTGGCTGTGTACGAGGACAAAAAGACAATATGCGAAAATGAAAATAGTTTTGCTGGGAAAATGCTATCATGGGGAATTTAAAACGCCATCAAACATGCACTTTTCAATGTTTAAAGGAAGAAAGACACAAAGAGCCAAGGAGCACATTAAGACAAATTCCAGGCTTGTGAATTTACAAGCCTAAGTTTTATTTCTCAGAAATTAATTTACAAATAGAAATTTCGATAGAAACCCCATCAAAAACAGAAGCAGATTTTTAAAAAGAGCCCTTATCTGTTCTTGTTCCAATAAACAGGTTGTTAAAGAGACAGAGGAGCTAAATACCCTTGCTGGTTAGTCTAAATGGAAAAACTGAGGGGGCCAAGCTTTCTAAAGCTTTTATTTGCACATATCTGCTTGAGAATTTTTATAAAACCCATTTTTTAAACATGAGCGTGGGGACTACCCCTTCATGCAGAAGTCAGTGCTGTTGTGACTTGGGCCCCAGCCTCACGGGAACCCCTCACTCCAGACTGTGATTATGTTAACTATTAAAACAAAACTTTTGGGGCCTCCCTGGTGGCGCAAAGGGTTAAGTCTCAGCACCATGACGCTATGGACAGCCACTACAGCACAAGTTCAATCCCCAACCAAGGAGCTGACCCACATGGCGCAGCAGACCTCTCCTGCCTAGCCCGCTGCTCCCTTCAGCAGTGTATTTCAGTAGATCTGCCTGTTCTGCATCCCACTCTGTCTCTGGTAAATCCTCTCAACCCCCCTACCCCTGCACCTCTGGCCTACACCCCAGCTCTTGTATGCATCAATAAAGAAATCTTTTAAAAAAATATAAAACAAAATTTTCGATGCTTTGCACTAAAATTCACCTGGAGACATTCCACAGGGGTCTTTTCTAATGCTCTTTCTTCTTGAGCTATTACTTCCCCCTACAGATAAACCTGATTAGTTGTAATTACTACTCTAAATGATGTGTAGTCAGTTTCTTATTCAATTATGGCTGCTCAGAAGTCCAGAATAAATTACCACCATCGAGCTTCACACTGAATAATGCTAATGCATTCCTATCGCTCCAGGCCCTAAGACTCCCTCTCTCAGACTGACAACAACGGGCGTTCAGTAAAATCCTACTCAGAGCAATTACAGAAGAAAACCTTTTGGAACAGAGGAAGTTTTTTAAGTTCTTACTCCTCAGAGCCAAAGGCTGCTCAACTGCCCAGGTTATTTTATCAAAGTGATCTGAAAGACCTCCTGAAATGATTCCCTCTGCAAATCACCCCAGTTAGTGGTGCGGCTGTGCTGAAAGCGTTAAACAGATGCAGGAGTGGATTTCAATCATTATTTCTGATCCAGCAAAATGGATCAGACACGTGTGCAATTCAATATAAATGTCTTTGGAGGGCCTCCCTGGTGGCGCAAAGGGTTAAGACGCAACCTATGAAGCTGTCCGCAGCCTCTGCAGCACGAGTTCCATCCCCGGCCGGCCAGGGAGCAACCCACATGGTGCAGCAGACCTCTCCTGTTTCGCCCACTGCTCCGCACAGCAGTGCATTTCAGTCAATCTGCCTGTTCTGTTCCCCACTCTGTCCCTGGTGAGTCCTCTCACCCCCCGCACCTCTGGCCTGTACCCCAGCTCTTGTATACATAAATAAATAAATCTTAAAAAAATTAAAAAAAATGTATTCGGAAAATGAAATTTTAAAAAGCAAGTAAAATTAAAGGCTAGTTTTTTATTATCAGATCAGACACCATAAAATGGCTCAAGTGTCTAAACCTGTCTTCCACCTCCTGGTGGACTTAGTAGTAACACATAAGGACTGCATTCTGAGTGGACCCCCAACACCCTGTGAAGAAAGAGTGGGTCCAGGGCAAATGCAATGACTGTCCAAGTCAGAACCCAGGCTTCATAGTTTAGAGAAAGAGTCCCTTAAACATCACCTATCAATCAAACAGCACTTTCCCTCTATTAATAAATCTTTAAAAAGATTTTCTCAGTCAGGAGAGGAAGTCTTCACTTCCTCAACCCCTGGCTTCTAAAGGAACGAGTTCATAAGCAGAGGTTAAAAAAAAAAAAAAATCAACAGGGCCTCCCCTGGTGGCGCAGCAGTTGAGCGCTGGGCTGCGAAGCTGCCCGCAGCTTCTGCAGTGCTGGTTCGATCCCCGGCCACCGGCGAGGGTCCCACATGGCGCGCAGACCTCTCCTGCCGCCCGCTGCTCCCCTCAGCAGTGTACTTCATTCAGTCCTTCTGCCTGCTCTGCTCCCCACTCTGGCTCTGGTGAATTCTTTCACCCTCCTGCACTTCTGACTGTACCCAATGCATGTATAAATAAATAAATAAATCTTTAAAAAAAAAATCAACATAGGAACTTTTTCAGATTTTATCTATCTCCCCCAAAATATACCTTAATGATGACTTTTCAGTGAAGCCACATCTTTTGCGATGGAAATACCCTGGGAAGCAGCAGCCAACAGATGCATGTCCTGAGCAGCTCCCAAATGCCAAGACTCTCGGGCACTTTGGGCACAGTCTGCTCATCGGCCCTGTGAGTCAGACTGCGGCTCAATTTTATTTAATGGGAAAGCCAGGCCTCTGACAGGGCCAGCTTCACTGAGACCGCAAGCCAGGTCTTGTGTCTCCACTTCACTTCACTTGTGTTGCCACCAATATCATTTCCATGTTGGAATTCCAGGGCAGATACTGCAGGGAGGTCTGTCTGCACTGGAGCACAGGGCTTGGGGGTCAGACGCTGGGCCAAGTCACCCCACCTCTATGTCCTCAGTTCCCTCATCTGTCAGATGCAGATGCTACTGCCACCTCCCCAGAGGATCTTGAAAGGAAATATGTCAATACTCAGGAAATATGTCAATACTCAGGAAATATGTCAATACTTGCTACCGTAAGCCCACACCGGCATCAGCTGTGGTCAGTGTTAATCCCTTGAATCTGCTTTCCACTACTGCTTCCTGCTTCAAGCCACAAATGTGAACCATTCTGTTTTGACTCTTCCCATTTCCAATCAGTTGGAAAGTGTCATCATCTTGCAACAGGGTGGTCCCCAGGAAAGGGGGAGTTTCCCTGCCCCACCCAAGGGAGGGTGGAGCTGAGCAGGAAGAGGAGAAGCGGCAGAAGAGACTGAGGAAGGAAGCAGGATGGAGCCAGGAGACCTGGAGGAGGCCCATGGAGCCTAGAGACACGTGAAGAAACTGCGCTTGTCTTTGGGTTGTGGACTGGGTGACACAGACGTGGGTGAGACCCTATGGGGAGGTGACAATGGCAGCTTTTATCTTGATGTTGATTTTGCTCTTTTCCTTCTGGGCTTGTCCGGTTGTTTGTGACCCTTTTCTGTGGGTCCCCACTGGATGATGCTTTAGACTTGTGGCAGGCTTTGGAGCTTTGCTCTGGGCCAATCCCATTTGGATGGACTTTTACCCACGAGGGGATGGGTAACTCTGGATGCTTGATTTAGAAACTAGATTATTTGCCTTACCTGTATTGTTTCCTAGTTTTATTAAAGTTCCTTCCCATTAAAGTCTCATGTGTTTTGTGTTGATGCGGCGGATGGCAGAACCCATTTAGAATAGGCAGGTTTGCGGGGTTTGGGCTGCCCCTCTCCCTGTCCTATAACAATCTCTTTCCCTATTTCCTTCTCGAATAAGTCAGTGTCTGTCCACAGCCACCACCTGCCTCCTCTCTTAACCTTTGCCACCCCAGGACTTCTCCCAACAATGCAGCTGACCCTGTGATCCCCTGTTCAAACCCCTCTCTACTGAATCACCCCAGGATAAAACAGAACACCCCTGCCTTGGTTTGCAAGGCACCTTCCCACCTACTTCTCCAGCATTATTCTGATCTCTCCCTAAGCTCTTCAAGTAATAGCAAATACCAAGGGTCTTTCACTGGCCTGAAGACACCGTGCTCCCTGACGGAGTCTTTTATTTGGTGTTTCCTCTGACTAGCTAACACGAACACATTCTTCTCATCTTAGGCAAGGACTCCTCTCAAGAACCTTGCCCTGATACCCCTACTCTAAAGGCCACTTTATATTTACTCTGATCCTAGGACTCGTCACACTCCACCAAAACTGGCATTTCATTTCCCTGCCCCCTGCCTTTAAATGTATCTTAAATCCCTGCTATACCCCAAGTGCCCAACAGTGTTATACACAGAACCCCACACACCACATCCCCAGAGACTGCACCCACTGCAGTCTACCCCTCAGGAACCAGCCACCAGCTTGGAGAACAATTTTTTAAAAGCCCCAGCAAAGCAGTAAACACATTCAGCCTCTGAGCTTTGAAGTTGTAAGAGAAGCGACAGATGGAGACGCACAGCAGCAAATGCTTCGAAAGGGCTCCACAGTGTGCCAGGTCTACCCGGCGGAGCAGACCTCTGGCTGACCTCTCTGCAGGCAGGGGTTGCAGGCAGACATCCCGCCTCCTCCCCTCATCTCCCTGCGCAGCTGGCAGTCACCCTGCCAGATGCTGCGCTCCCACCGCTGGATCCCAGCACAACACTGCCTGGCAGGCGGCGGAGGATAACAGTCTTTCGAGCCAGCTCGCTGAGAGAGGAACTCAGATAAAAACCTAGACACTGGCATGTGCGAGCTGGGAGCCGCCTTTCCCTCTTCCACAGGCTGGAGAAGACTGTTGTCTTGCTTTTAAGTGTCTTGGGCTGCACCGACATTTTAAAGTATATCCAATGGTTGTGGGTTGAATTCAATCCCCCAGAAAGATATGTCTGAGTCCTAACCCAGGGCCTCGGTGACCTTTGTGGAAATAGGATCTTCCCAAATGAAACCAAGTAAGATGAGGTCACACTGCATGAGACTGGATCCAATGACTGGTGTCCTTATAATGAGAGCCAAGTGTGGACGCAGACACTCAGGAGGTAAGGCCGCATGAAGGCGGCAGTGGGGAGGGCAGCTATAGGCCAGGAACCACCAAGCCCGAAACCACCAGAGCTGCTGAGGCCGGGAAGGATGCTTCTCCCAGGCCTCGCCTCTGGAGGGAGCACGGCCTCACTGAAACACCCTGACTTCAGACTTCTAGTCTCCAAATGCACCAGTGAATGAATTTCTGTTGTCTTAGCACCGCCCACCCCCCACCCCCTCACCCCACCCTCAGCCCATATTCCGGCACTGGCTACAGCAGTCCCAGGAAACTGATATACTCACTAAAAGGATTTTAGAAATTTTTAAAAAAGTTAAAATTAGTTCTCTCCTTAGGCAGCTAGTCACTACACTGAATAAAAGATATCATCACACATTCTCTAAGAGCATTGAGACGCTTTTCCATTTTTATAGTTTAGTTTTACTTCACAAAAATAGCTTTCTCTGAATACAGAACACATTAATATTTCACGCCTCTAAGACAGCCAGGTGACTATTAATGCAGCATCTCCCGAGTCATAGAAAAGGCAAAGCAAAAGGGCTTCCAAGCCCTAAAGCTGACACTTCACAGATTCGGGGACAAGCTCAGCTGTGTGAGAGAGACAATGAGCTCACGCTGACCCGGGTCACTGACTGTGGGGACCAGGTAGCAGCTGCATTTTCAGCTCCATGTCTGAGCTGGTGTAACATGAGATAGTCCCTCCCGCCTTCACCAGGCTCTCCAACAGGCCCAGCTCTTGGATGTGAAATAAAACAGACACCCAGAGGCCCAGAGTGTTCAACAGGCAGTCATTTGCTCTATCTTTTAAAAGCATCACTTTCAAATCTCATCCTCTGATAGCAAAAGCTAAAGAGGTAGACGACATCACTTAGCCTCAAGGTGGGTCTGGAATAACTAAGGCGGAAGATCTTTCTGGGCATGAATGGCATATTGACTGCCACGAAAATAATTTAGGAGACATAATAAATAAAAGGTTGAAGGCACCTCTCTATACATCATTTTCATCATTTTTTAACACTTAATAGCATGACCTTACTCTCCAGAGTTCGTACCAGCAACAAAACATATTTGACAGAGAAAGTTTCCTTTCCAGACACAGGCCTTACTTTTGAGGTATTTTCGTTAATAAGCTGTAAGGAAAAACACAGTAAGCTGCAACGCTTGTGTACAGAAGAAAAGAGGAACAGCTCCAGAGTCCTACACCTGCCGGGGTGGATCTGCCCCAGGCGAAGCGTGCACTTCCAGAGCTGGGAAAGTGGAGACCCACCTCTGCACAGACGGGGTGGATCCCAATGGTGCTGTCCAGCTGTGATTTGGTCAGGCCACACTTGAGGGCAGCTGCAAAGCCCTGGGTAACTTCTCCAGCATTTGGACCCAGGACGTGGAAGCCGACAACACGTTCCTAGGGCACAAAGTTATACAGTTATAATGATCTCTGCCCCTTGAACACCTGGAGTAATTCCCCAATCTACTCCAAAAAGCCCCTTTCAGAAATGGCCAAAGTCTTCTATTTATGGAGCTAAAAGCTGTCTAAGGCTGCAGACACACCCTCACAGCCATGCAGACGGTGTGGCGGGACATCACAAGGGGAGAGAGGGAGGTGGCGCACATGGTGACGAGGACCATATACAAGCAAACGTTTGTAACTCCTTATGCACTGAAATGTCTGGACAATCTTTCCAAAGCACAGTTTTGTCCTCAGCCCCTCTACTGTTGTGTCTCAAATAACCATCTGTGGTATCTTCAGATAAACTATCTGATAGCACAGTTTTAACATTTACAACCCATCAAATTGAAAAATCATTTTAACTAAGGTTTTGGGGGTAAAGAGCATAATTCAAAACTTAATACTCTTCCCATCTGAAACCATTTTGGAAAGCAACTTTGAAATACCTGTGTGGGGATTATTTTTGGATAAATCCAAAATCCCAAACTCAGGCTAACTTCTACCAAGAGCAGAGAAAGATGGTGTATGCAGCTGACAGACTTTCCGAGTAAACTCTGACTGAGCTGGAATATCGGGTCCAGTCTCATCACAGAGCTGGCAAATTGGGCTGCAGAACACCAGGCTTCATCTGAGGTTCAACTGCTACCTGGAAAACCATCTGGAAGGTCATTCTGTTGCCCAAGTGCTCCGAGAGGTTCCATGTAGGAGTCCTACATTATTCATCCTGACACTCAGGGGTTTAATATGTGGATAAAAAGAGCACAGAACATACTAGCACTTAAAATACACTAGATGTATAATGTAATAATATTGATTGATCTCAAAAAATAATGAGATCAAGAAAACATATGGCAGGCTTCTACTCTTTATCAAACCCCACTGTAGAGTATTTATAGACACATGACAGGTGGCAAACATGAAAATATGGACAGGAGAGACACTCCCGACTTCCAGACAGCATGGCCTCTGGAGGAGGGAAAGAGCAAGGATAAAAAAGGAATACAAAAGGCTACACACACACAGAGGACAACGGAGTGAAAACAACACAGCTGCTAAATCGCCTGGAATTGAGTTCCTGCTCTGCCAAGGTCTGGGCACAATTACTAAACTTCCAGGGGCTTCAGATTCCTTCCTCTACAAAGCAGGGACAGCTAGAGTACATGCCTCCCGAGCTGTGTAAGGATTAGTAAATTAATACATGCAGGCCTGTAAGTACCACCTGTCACATGGTAAGAGCTAAATAAACACAGGCTACTATAAACTGCCTCTGTGGTGATTTCGTGCCTGTAAGAGAAAAACTCTCAAGCAAATAAAGCAAATTGTTAATATTTACTAAATCTGGATGGTGGGGACTTTTCCTGTCTTTCTGAAAATTTAAATATTTCATTAAAAACAGATTAACAAAGAAAAAGAAAAGCCTAGCAGATAACAAACACTGTAAGTGCCACTTGAAACCAAGCACCTTTAAATGCTGAAAGTCAATTTCAATGATTGCCCCTTTATAAACACAATTCTTAAGGTGTCTGTTTGGGTCCTTCATCAACCGAGTTTTTGACGGCTTGCCGACTAACTACGCCTAAACACCTGAGCCGGGGACCATACAGTGAGGATCAAAGAGTGGGGCATGTGTCTTGCCCCCATAACGTCCACGGAGCTGGAGAAACCAACAGGTAACATGCTAAAGTAATGTAATGTGTACCATGTGACCAAAACTGAACTACATACTAAACACAAAATGAAATGAGTAGAAGGGATAAAATGAGAATTGCACTTACATTATCTTTGATATTGCAGATTATTTTTGCGTAACATTTGTTGTTATCTCTTGATGGAATTGTCCATTCCAAGGGCCAAAAGTAACTATGGTAAACCTAGGACAGTAAGGGCACAATTTAGACCCATTATCTAAAGACGTGTTTGTCAAACACTGGGTACATGTGAAGAGAATGGAGGTTCGCTAGATTCTCACTAAATAATAAAATTCATGCATGGAATAAACAGAAATCTGGTCAGAAGAGAAAATGACTTTACACTCCTTGTTGAATTATCCCTCAACCTTCAAAGAGTAAACCTTATGTAATGAGAACAAAGAGCAAGCAAATGAGATAAAGAAACCATGTAATGACTTGCTGTCTTGTATTCAAAAAATAAAAACCTCACCACTATCTTACAGGAATGACAACTGTGGACAAGAAACAAATACGGCGCCAGGAACAATTACAGCAATTATTTAGTTCTCTTGCTTAATGCTTCCAAGGATATTTCCTCCTTTGGCAGTATTCACCAAAAGTACCAAAGGAGGGAGGGAGAGAGGGAGATTGGGGGCTGATAGAAGGATGCAGGAGCATCCTTACTGAAGTCCAGGATGACTGAAAGGATTTTTTTTCTCCTCGAACTGCTAGCTTATTTTCAAAACATATATGGTTGACTACCTTTTAAAATTATAGTATGTAGATATTATAATAAGTGATTTTTTATGTTGGAATATAATGATTTTTTAATGTGAATTAAAAAATTGAACATATAATAATAACATCATAATAATTACACAGGGAAAAGGCTAGAGAAATTATCCCAAACTGCTAGCAAGTACACATCATAGACTTAAGTCTATGAGCAACTTTTCTTACATTTTCTTACATTTTTCAAAGTTTCTTCAAATGTATTTTATCATGAAAAATGCAAATCCTTATAATAAAGGTCAAAGATTATCAAGAAATATGGAATATATCTTAAGAACCTGAAAATTAATCTTTTGATAGCAATCTATCTTCCGAAAATAATCAGAGAAATGGAAAATAAATTATAAAGACATTCTATTTGAAATAGTAAAAAACTGTAAACAATCTAATAAAAGAAAGGTTTTTCTTACTCTCAAATGGAGTCCAAAAAAATACAAAGACAAAGAATATGAAAAGTATAACGCAAACAGGCAGAATGTTAATAATACATGAACCTGGATCATGGGCATATGGGAGTTCTTTGTACTACCTTTCACTTGCAATTTAAATTTGAAGAATTAACAACAGTTCATTAATATAGGAGTAAAAAACAGAACGTACCTCAATATTTTCTTCACCAAATTTTTCCACAGCTTTCTCTTCAGAAAGACCACAAGCACCATATTCCAGAGGAGTAAATACAGTTGTTGGAACATTGTCATAGTCACACTTTAAAATGGAAAGAAAATTATGATAAGAGAAATTGCAACACAAAAAAGGGTGTATTTTTAAAAGGTTCACAGTGAGTCGGGAAATCAGACTAATACATTTTCTACCAAAAGCAGGGCCAAAAAAAAAAAAAAAAAAAGCAGGGCAGTCACAATCCCAAATGTAAACCTGCTACTTGGGTTTACTAAATGATATGACAATTTTAGCAGATGTTTCAAGCCTGGGAAGGCTGATCATGAAGAAATGATTCACTTGGCTTCTCCAGCCATCTACCGACTGACATTAACAAGAACACACTTTTTCCCTCCTGTTAATAAACCAGATAAAAATACTAGTGTACCTAATGCTGACAGTCTCATAGATGAGAGAAATTAATAGATAACATTGGACAATCAATTAGGGATACTTATTAAGAGCTATAAAAACATTTTACTTCTACTGTCCAAATAATACCACTTTTAGAATTCTAATAGACAGAAATTTAATAGACAGAAAAGGCTATGTGTGTTAATTGAGCACTGCTGCAGCCTTTCACCAGCAGCAGTATTGGAGTGGCTTTAAAATGCAAATAAGAATGGACCTCCCTCTTGGCGCAGGGGTTAAAGTCTCAGCACTATGAAGCTATCACCAGCCAAATAGCACCAGTTTGCTCCCCAGCCAGAGAGCTGACCCATATGGCTCAGCAGACCTCCCCTGTCTCCCCGTTGCTCCTCTCAGCAGTGGATTTCAGTCAGTCTGCCCGTTCTGCTCCCCACTCTGTCTCTGGTGAATCCTCTAGCACCCCCTCTCCACACACACACCTCTGGCCTATACCCCCCTTCTTGTATGCATAAATAAAAATAAATCTCGACCAAAAAATGCAAACATGAATGTGGACCTATGGTACCTGCTTTCAATATGGTACAGGCAACCATTAAAATGGTAATGGAGACCACAGATACACACACACAAAAAAAGTAAATGATTATGACAGTTATTTCCAAAGCATGGCTTCGAATGCTAATAGGGATGCATGACCAAAGGCTTTAGAAGTCAAGCAAGTCTGTAAATGCTGAATTAAGCAAAATAAACAAGTTTCTCTACTATCAGATTTCTTAGAACCTTTAATATGCTGATGTGAATTGTGAAAACTGGATTAATTAAATGCCATTTGACAAAAATCTACCCAGTCACTTAGAGGTGAATTGAAAATATGACAAATTCAACTCTCTAAAACAGGATGGAATCTTTAAAACGAACCTCCCTCTATGAACAATAAATACCATCCTAACAAGAACATAAATTCTCGGAATTCTGTTCCAAAGTAAAGACAAACATTCACTTACAACTATAATGGTAGATTCAGGTCCAGATTTGCCTTCCTGCTTTAAACAATGGGGCCAGGAAACACATGGGAAATCTCTGTACCATCCTAAGCTTTGCTGTGAAACTAAAACTGCTCTTAAGAAAAGAAGTCTTTAAAAAATTGAGCCTATTTTTTTTTTTTCTTGTCATCAAGTTCCAAGAAACAGAGTTTCTGGAACTCAGAGTTCCTCAGAGTTCAACTTCCTACAGTGACTTTGAAAGGTTGGGGAATAAAGGCTGAATAGGGTTTAAGCAGCTCTGCACAGTGACATTATTACCTAGGATCCCCAAATCCTGTTAATAGCCTAGATCAGTGCCATAAAAGTGCCATAAAAGAAAGTTATAGTTAAATGGGTAATAATGAAACTGATGAAAAATGCAACTACATAATGAGCATGTAGAGCATAACAGTGCTGAAACTTGACTAATCAAGCTCATTTTATTCCTAGTGTGACTCCAAGGTGACAACGTTCATAATGAAGTCACAGTACAGCAGTCTGAACATGCCTTGCTTGGAATACAGCTAATAAAACACATCTACGAGGCCACAGTCCAAACAACTAAATTACTCAAGCCCTGGAAAACTTCCCAACTACCCCTAAATACAGAGCCAGGAGTGTTATTAACAATAGTCCCTCCTTGGAGGAGGCCTCCACGCTCACCTTGATGGAGGAGCCAGCATAGAGCCTCTGAGCCAGCAATCTCCCGGCCTGGATGGCCACGGGGGTGAGTTCCAGCTTGCCCTCCAGGATGTCACCGATGGCGTAGATGTAAGGCACATTGGTTTGCTCTTCGTCCGTAACAGGTATTTTTCCAGTCCTGCAAATTCATTCAGTTAAAATCAAGTTATCACTATTCCCGAAGTAGAACAAAATTCCCTTTCTCGCAAAGAAACCCAAAATTGCGACTCTCAGCTGAGGGCAATACTTGACTGTATCACAAAAAAACAAAGTTCTCAGAGGAAGCAAAAACTTAGAGGCAATTCTGGCTGCTATTTTGGAAATTAAATGAGTGAAAAAATTATAAGGAACTCTGGAGTGGGAAAATGAGAACTTAGTGGTTAAGAATGAGGACTAAATTGTGATAACCAGGTCTGTTAAGTTATTCCTGCTTTGATCTTGGAAACCCTAGTTAATATCGCTAAGACTCATTTTCCCACCGTAAATGGGAATAAGGATAATGGGAATAACAGTAAGAAAAAGAATACCATAATCTACATGAAAGGGTTGTGACGATTCGATGAGAATGCCCATAAAACATAGCACACTAGTCCATGGTTCACAGGAAGCGCAGAATAAATGGCAGCTATTAGCATTAGGTGAGAGCTAAACCTTGAACCCAAGTGGAAACAGGCTAGCAGCTTATTAAGATGATACATTTGGCTGCAAAATCTTTCCTGTTGACCTCTTCAACTCCTTTGTCTTCCCACTCCCCCTAAACAAATCAGTACTGTAGTTTTAGTTTCTAAAGCAGCTTGTCATTCACAGCACTTGTTTTTGCTTGGAGGCAAAAAAAGTAATACTGGACTACCCCAAGCTGACCCCGCAAATGGACATCAGGGGTGGTGTCCAGGGCAGGATACTTGTCCAGTGGATTGTAACTTTTAAAGCCCTTGAACAAACAAAAGTGTTCACACTCACAGCTGTCTCTAAAAATACAGTGACCACTCAAGTGATACTGAGACTTGGTAACTTAAAACATGATTTAAACCTACATACTTATTGACACTCAAAGCACATACCTGCAGTTATCTGTGGATTGGACTCTTTTTCTGAACACACACACACACACGTTAACGAAACAACATGCTAGCCAACTTCTCTCTCATTTATTTTGAAAAGAAAAAATAAATAAAACAAACAGGAAATACTACCATAAGTGGCACACACAGAATCATTTTCTAACCTTAAAAAGGGATTCTCCCTGGTAAAATTTAACTTTAAAAACCAAAAAGCCCATGTCCACTATTAATCAATATTACCATATGAACAATTGAAATACAAATCAGTAAGGCATAATAAATATTTTCTTACTTTTCATTGATCTTTACACCCACGGTTTCTAAGCCAATTTTTCTAGTGCAAGCGTCTCTTCCTATTGCCAGCAACACCTGAAAAATTATTAGCATATTAGTGACTATTAATCAAAAGGCTTTGCTTAAGTTTTTCAATCATATTTTTATCTGCTTATTAAGCCAATCTGACTTCATTTTCTGGGAAGAAATATTTCCTTAAGAGGTTTAAACAAATTAAAATCTTTCAGAGGAAAAAAAAACCCTTTCAACAAGATATAGCAGAAATTCTTACCTATTTCTTGTTGAGGAAAAAGGAGATAACAATTTCTTAATAAATCTGGTCAAGTTTAGACACAAAGACAGCATAGCCTATGACTAAACTGTTTTGTTTTGTTTTGTTTTCAAATATGGGCCAGGGATAAAGAACAGGGGACAGAGAAATTCTTTCCCAAAAAAAAAATATGTATCACAAGTAATCAAGATATCTTTGAAAAGAACCACAGGTTTTAGAAACAGCACGTGACCACTGCAAACACTCAGCAAACCAGCACTAAGCACAGCATCTGCTCCTGGGAAAGGCTCGCTCCTGGGTCCGCGCCTCACCGTGTTGTACTCTCCCTCGATGGTCTCGTCACTTTGGGTGGACTTAGCCACCACCCTGAGTCGGCCTGGCATCCCTTCTTCAATCTGTTCCACCTAGAAAAGCAATGTGAGTCTTACTCCATAGTAGAAACATCATCACAGTGGATTAATCATGTCCTCCCCTTTACCTAGTTAATCCATCGTTAACACAAAATCTGGCTTGAAAGGCCTTTTATGTCCTATCTCCCGCACCCTGACATCATTAGGAAGATAAGTGATTTCTCCTGCTCTACCTTTCTTCCTTGCCTCTTAACATTTGCTAGCAGGGCTAGTTCCAGAGAGAAGAAGATTCAGAGGAGAGTGAGAAAGAAAAAGAGCCAAAGAAAGCACATTACAGACCCTGAATCAAAACACTGACTTCACGGCTTTTCCCCGGCACCTATGTCAGAGCTCGCCCAGTTCCCTTCGCCGGGACAGCCGCTGTTCTCTTTTGAAGATGCACAGCTTTGTCCACGAAGAACAGACATGGGAGCAGGCCATCATGATACAGATGACAACTATAAAGAGCTCAGGAAGGCCAACCAGGCAAGGAGGTGTGTGTTTATCAGAGTGAGGGGGGCTGCTTCGGTTGTTTTGTAGGAATAAGCAAGGTGCAGCACTTGTGCTACACGAACGTGACTGAACACACTCAGCTATAACACCTGCAGGCTGGCTAACAATCACGTCTACCAAGTATGTAGTTCATCTCTAATGTCTCTGAGTGACAGCCAAAGCATGGATTTCTGCAAAATATTCACTGGGAGAAACCCATGAAATCACCCGCAATTTTTCTACTCTACCTTGGAAACACAACCACTCTGTATGGGAAAACTCCCAAGGGTCATCTCGTGTTCATGATCAATAAACAGGAAAGATTTTCCTTCTCAAATTCCCGTCCTTTCTTAGGTGGTCATGCCCCTTTGAATATATTGCAAATGTCTCTCCTGTTCCATTTCAATTCAAATGTTCTAATCTTTGTAGTAGAGTTGAATTAATCCATGGCTTAGACTTGCTTCAAAATGATAAGGGTCTCATCCCACCTATTCCTTTCTGCTTTACTCATTTTGTGCTCCAGTGAGGCCATTCTATTATCACGGGTGATCTCTGCATCTAGAACAATTTCATTCCCCAAAGACAGTATTTAGTCCAAAATGCACTCTTCCTCCTCTCTGCAGAAGGTTTCCTTTCCCTTCTGTCACTTTATAATCCATCCAGCATTCTCTGCCTGTCTATGGGGATCACTCTGGAAACCCAAGCAAAATGTTATGTGCACAGACACAGCGTTATTTCACTAGGGAGAGTTTGCCAGGTTCTCAAAGGGGCCCACAGTTCCCATGTGTTCTATCAGCACAACATACACATCCAGTGGCTGTGTTCTTAAGCAGCCAGAGCTGTGTACTTCTGCTCCCTACGATCCAACACCGGCACCTTCCGGGAGCCATGCTACTAATTCTCACAACACCACCTGAGATTCATCTTAGATGAAGATTCTAATTACTTTCTAAGTATAAGCTAAAATGCTTATAAGTGCAATTATCTCACAAAAATGCTGAGGCAAGTGCAATTATCTCATTTTATAAAGGAAAGTGAGTATCCATAAGGGTAAGGAATCCCCCCTAAGTCTGATAGCTAACAGTTGGCAGAAAAGAATTTGAACTCATGTGATCCTGATGCCGATGCACATATCCTGTCACCATGAAGAGACTTATGGTCCTTAAGTCATTTAGCAATTAAAAAAAAAAAAAAATCACAGCTAAAATTTAACAAAAATGTTCCACCTTTATCTGCACTAAAGAAAACTAACAGTAAGATACAGGGATCGATTTTGTCATTCTTATGTATCAAAACATTTGTGGCAATCTTTAAGAAATTCCAAACATAATTTAACATATTACTCAGATTTTTCAAAAGATTAATTATGCAAAGGAGGCCAGGAAAACCAGGTAACTTCCCAGGGAAGCTCAGAATAATCCAGGGTATCTGTTGACTATACTCTATACCACAAGAACTGCCTTATGGAAATTTAAAAAAAAAAAAAAAATCAGCCTAGTCTTGAACTCTCATTTTAATCGTGGATATGGGACCTCCCCGGTGGCGCAGTGGTTGAATGCTGGGTTGCGAAGCTGCCCGCGGCCTCTGCGGCGCCGATTTGATCCCCGGCTGCTCCCCGGCCACTGGAGGAGGGTCCCACATGGCACACAGACCTCTCCTGTCGCCCGCTGCTCCCCTCAGCAGTGTACTTCGGTCCTTCTGCCTGCTCTGCTCCCCGCTCTGGCTCTGGTGAATTCTCTCACCCTCCCGCGCTTCTGACTGTACCCAGTGCATGTACAAATAAATAAATACATGCCTCTTAAAAAAAATAAATCGTGGATATGATGTGGAATATAAGTACAACAGACCAAAGGTGAAAAAATAAAGGGATGCATAAAGGGAAGCATTAAACAGAAGAGTACCAGAAGAAAGCTGAGAAGGGAAGAAATTAATTTGCAAGTAAGAACAAAGCTGTGGAGGTGGCAGGCAGGTGTAAGTTTATACAACAGGGCTGAGGAATCACAGCATCCCGAGGTTTACTATGCTGAAGGGATACTGCCATCACCCACCCCGACTCTCTCTCCTCCCTTTTAACAAGAATACAGAATTAATAACACTACAGGCAATCCCACTTACTTTTATTGGTACAAACTGTCTTATAAACTTGACACCATGTTCTTCCATATGTTCACCAATTTTGTTGGCCATATCCTGGTCAAATCCTCTGAGGAGAATGGACCGCACCATAACAGTGACATCTAAACCAATGCCAGCAAGAAATCCAGCACATTCCAAAGCCACATAGGATGCTCCAACCACCAGGGTTTTACCCGGGCAGTACGGTAAGGAGAAAAGGTCATCACTGAAAAGAAATTTGGGGGGAAAAGAAAGAAAAGAGAAAAATGTTCATGTGAATAACCACCACGTCAAAGTATTTCTTAAGACTCAGATGCCTTCAAGATTAAAAACATTCCACTAGCTACATACATAAAACAGGAGATTTTTTTATAAGGTCTTAGGACACTCCCTTTTAAGGCACTTATTTGCTATGGGATAGCTTGAGCTGTCGTGGCTAAGCATAGCAAACCATGTGATGACTGGCAGGAGGCCTACTCACTGTGAGACAAAATGATTTTGTACTATTCAGAATAGCTCACTTACATTTAGAACCTTACACATGTAGGTGGTGGGAGACTTCTGGGGACTACACCTGACCAGATTAATCAAATATTGTACAACAAGGAACAACAATGTAAGAAAATAAAAAAGTCTAATAAAAAAAAACATACACATGTAAACTTAAAACCTCTATTCTCATTCTCCTACTCAGCTCTCTTCCCCGGTGGAAAGCCTATGTTCTATCCCCTAAAATGGAACATAATTATCAAGACTAAGGAAAAAGGTAGGAAAAAGCTTTCAACATATTTTTTTTTGTAATACAAAAGTCAACTATAAAATGTAAAGCCTGGCAAAATCTTCTCTTTGAATGAGGATTAAACAAGACAGAAGAGATGATAAATGCACTGTGGGGGAATATGCTTTTAAATGGCAATAGGTGCCTTCTGAGCTGTCCCTAGTTGAGACACACAGGATAAAACACAACCAAAAAATAAATAAATTACAACACATTCAGGAAGAAACCCTTGGGCAAAAAGCATCCAAGAGTATAAATTTGTGAGAAATCAATCATAATGACTTCACAATTGAAAACTCCTGAACAAAGCCAGCAGCACCATCACTTGATGGGCAAAAATAAATCATGCAGCAAAACCTTCCTTCTTGACTCCCTCAATCCAGAAAGCCCCTCTACACTGACACTTGCAACCACGAACAGTGGTGAGCAGACCAGGATGTGATCAATCTAAAGGACTGCCATCTAATTCCTTCAACATCCACACTGCAAGTGTTAAAGGGTAATATGGGTAACCCTAGTTTTGCAAATAGGTAAATATATGCACACATATTATTTATTTTGCAAAATATTTTGTGAATATCTACCTGGTTTTACATAGCAAACATTTATAATATATACCCAAACATAAAATTTCAAATAAAAATATTACAAACATATACCTATATACTGTATCTATATGTTATATTGGTATTTACTATGGATAAGATGACTGATGTTTAGTTTTGAAATTTTTAAATGTTATCTGCATAAAATAATTATTTCTTTGTTTTTCCCAGTACCCTCACCCTTGGGCAAAGAGGTGGCTAAAAAACTCTATTTCAAGAAACAGATTAAATGGGTTTGAAGCAACCGCCAAAGTAGAGATGCACACAGCTTTTGTCTTTTTTCCCTGGAACATGTCCCTTACCTGCTGATGCAATATTCTCTGTCCCCAGGGATACCCAAGTACCGTGGCCTTTCACCAGTGGCAATGAGAAATCTCTCCGCTGTATAAATTGTTTCTTTGCCTTTGTTATTTGTTGCCTACAAAGGAACCAATAAATCAATGTTTATTAAGTTACTGTCCTTTAGAATTTAAGAATGATGCACATGAAATTGAGCAATGCAGTGAGAGAAGACCTGAACAGACAGAGATTTGGTGGAGGTGACAATACTATCAGAGTAAGTGGCCAAATCAAGACTGGAGCCCAGGTCATTGGCCCCAAGTCCGTACTCTAACACTGCACACCAGAGAAATTCCCAGAAGATGAGACTGCAAAATCAACAAACTAGACAGTCTAGATCACAGTGATTATTTCTTTCTTTAGGATAATCTCTCCTCCCCTACCTCCAATCAAAGCTTACCATAAAAAAGAAAGAAAAAGGGGGCCTCCCTGGTGGTGCAAGGGGTTAAGACACAACCTATGAAGCTAACCGCAGCCTCTGCAGCACGAGTTCGATCCCTGGCTGGCCAGGAAGCAACCCACATGGCGCAGCAGACCTCTCCTGACTCGCCCGCTGCTCCCCTCAGCAGAGTATTTCGGTCAGTCTGCCTGTTCTGTTCCCCACTCTGTCTCTGGTGAATCCTCTCACCCCCACACCTCTGGCCTGTACCCCAGCTCGTGTATGCATAAATAAATCTTTAAAAAAAAAAAAAAAAAAAGAGAAAGAAAGAAAAGGCTACCTAAACTGTGCCACAATTACCTTAATCCTGTGAGGACCAACAAACTGCCCATAGGCGTTCTCATAGGTGACTTTTTTCTCCCGCAGGGCCACCCGGTAGCCCCAGTTCAGCGAGCCGATGTGGTTCTGCACAGCTTCAGTCATTTTCTCCCAGTCGTGTTTAACTGCACAAGGAAAGGAGACATGTTTAGCCATTCGGCTGCCCACGGTCGCTCGCAGTAAGTGTTCACAAGGAATACAAAGATCTGAGCTACTCATATAAAAGGGCAAGTCCTTCATTTCAAGCACATAAACAATCTTTTCATCTTCAAATATTTAACCCCCTCCCCTTTTAAAATTACATCCCCTCTTTTATTTACAATTAAATAATGCAAGGTTTCCTGGCAATTCTGAAGACTAACCTAATCATACACAAACGTTTTCTCCTTTATCTACCACAGAACCGGAATTTCATGTCGGCTTGTAAATACTGAGGGCTGCATTAATGGGGTACAGTGAAGGCACAGGGTTCTGTGGGTAACCATCTCCACAGCAATGAGGTAGCCAGGTTGGAGCTACAGTTTCTAGACCAAGGGTGGCAAACTGAGGCCCGTCAGCCAGGTCCAGCCCACCACCCCCTCTTGTGGAAGTCAAGTTTTACTGAAATGCAGCCACAACCACCTAGTTACACAGTGACAGGGGCTCTGCGTTCAGGGGACAAGTGCAGAGCGGAATGTGGGCAACAGACACCGTACAGCTCTTGAAGCTGAAAATGTTTACTCTGTCCCTTTACTGAAAAAGACCCCCGGCTCTGAATAGGGAACTTTAAGAGTCTCTATCATCGCCCTTCAAATCTGCAACTGAACAAAGAGGGGATTTTTTAATGCCCTCACAAAATTAATCCTTTGAATCAAGGCACTAGTAATAAATTTCAGTGGATTAAAAAAAAAAATCAATTCTTCACTAACACCTTTACAATGACTAGGAAAAGTAGGAGACAGAGAAAATACACTGAGGTTGCAGGAAGAAGGTAGATTCTGGGGAAGCCATGCTTTGGAAGGAAGGAGAAGAGGTTCAATAAATTTGGAAAAGCCTCTATCACCGAAATGAGGCATTTGAGTCCTAGATTCAGGGTTAAGTAGCTGGGCCACACAGGAAGTGGTGAGACCAAGTCTATTAAATATAGTGGCCAGCACTGGAAGTGGGAGTGACAGCACAAAGATTATTTGTGGCCTCCTGGAGATACCACCCAATTTATAGAGTTGAAAAATGTTAGCACTTGAGCAAAGCTTGAAAATCAGTTCAATAAAAAACAAAGTGAATGTAGGGGCCACTGTGGTTGTGATGCCAAGAGGACTGGGGGCTGGGTCTCCTGGCGGTGCTGCAGGGAGCCCTGACGAGCAGCCTCTCTCTGGCCTCCACTACCACCACTACCAAAATAGGTAGGACTCGCAGTTTCTCCATCAGGAATGGAACAGAATAGATGTAACTCATCCCATACGCCAATCATCTACTGCAACAATTACCAACATTTTACCAATCTTGGTTCACACACCCCCTTTCTCTGTAACTAGAATATTTTAAGCCAACCCCAGACATCATTTGATGGGTGGTGATTTTGGCTGTCACAGTGACTCAGGGATCCCAAGGGCCTGTGATGCTACACATCCTTCACTCCAGTCCTAACCAGGAACCGTCCAGGCCAACATGCCACACTTCACCCCCATGGAGAAACAATGAGCAAGGTCAAAGGGAGACCTCATTTCTCAAAGTGTACAACTGCAGAACTACTAAATTTCGCTGTACAAATCCTATAGAAAGATATCATATTTTAAAATAAGACACACTTAGGAGTAAATAATAGCACCAATACATTCAATTCATTCAAAGACGGAAATTCAAATTCAACGATTACATCTAAGCCAACCTTAATTCTGTTAAAAGCCGTCCTTTGTGGCTGTCAGGCTCCAACTGATTTTCAAACTCTTCAAATCCACCTTCTCTACCCAAGACCCTTCCTCCTCTGGTACAGCAGGAGCTCACCTCCAGTCCTAATCTCTAGTGGCACAGGCACAGAGGAATGGGACTCGAGTGTGGGACTCGGCATTAAGGCACTCGGGCTGCCCCTGTGATCCTTACCTTGCATTCCCCTCAGAGAACTGAGTTTCTGTCTTAATAAATTCAAATCCCTACTGTTGGTAGTGACCTGCCCGGAATCCCAGTTCTCTAGTTATTTAGGCATACAAGAGCTGGGGTGTAGGTCAGAGGTGGGGGGTAGGGAAGGAAGGAGAGTTGTGGGAGGATTCACCAGAGACAGAGTGGGGAGCAGAACAGGCAGACTGACTGAAACACACTGCTGAGGGGAGCAGTAGGTGAGACAGGAGAGGTCTGCTGCGCCATGTGGGTCAGCTCCCTGGCCAAGGAATGAACTCATGAGGCAGTGGCTGCCAATAGCTTCACAGTGTGGTGCTTAACCCCTTGAGCCACCAGGGAGGCCCCACCTCTGACCTACACCTCAGCTCTTGTATATATAAATAAACAAACCTTTAAAACAAAACAAAAAAAAAAAACAAAAAAAACAGGGAGGTAATTACTGCTCCCTCAGTGGCAGATCCTGGCAGGCATGGCAGACACCGCCCAGAAACCTCTGGTTTTCATAGCTCAGGCAATGAGACTCTGATAAGAGACATGAAAGCGTCCAGCAGGAAGGGACAGAAACTAGTATTTGTGAGTGGCAAGTATTTAATCCTCATCATACAGGCAGCACATAACAAAGCCAGAGTTTGTGCCCAGGTCTTTCCACTATGCTAACCTGCACTTCAACAGGCCAGGAACCCTGGTGTAAAGGAAGGACCTTCACCTTAGGTTCCTGGAGACAAGGTCTGACCAAGAATTCTGGTCAAGGCTATGGGTACTGTGGTCGGAAAGACCTCAGTCTGAATCCTAGTGCCACCCATCCCTTGGATACAACCTGGGCTAACTGCTTCACCAAATGGGCACAGCAGCATCTCCCCCAGGGTCCGCAGGGTCAAATATGTGCCGGGCTAGGATGGACTAGAGAATAAGGTTGCATGAGATGACCTGACTTTAACCACCCATGCTCACCCTTAGGGTGTCGATGAATCCAGAAAAGTCTGGCGGGAGGCTGTGATGGGTGATGGGAAAGACAGTAGCTGCCCCTCTGCGGTCCTTACCTTGCTGTGCTTCAGATAGGTTCCCTGTCCCTGCTCTTCACACGGCCTGAATGTAGTGACATCCCCTCCTTTGACTGTCAAGGGCACAATACCTGAGAAATCATCTCCAGTCACCTCTTAAATTACATTCATCAATCCCTCTTTGGGGCCTCCAGGACACTTGGTTTGTAAGTCAATGGTATCAGTACATCAATGAAGACAGAATTATTTGTCTGTGTATTTTCCCAGCACAGATGCAAACGTAAACAGCAGACACAACAATAGCATTAAATAATTTCCTAGGATTTCTAAAATGTCTACTAAGAAGTGTAATATTAACTGAAGGATGACCCTGCTGTTCACTGGATATATTCACAGCAGGCTTCCAGGAGGGGAAACATACACTGATAGCAGATTTAGTAGGTGGGCACTCAGAGAAATGTTTCAAGGCAACTCATGTCTAAGATTTCCAGACTTAGAACAAAAGTACTGTTGATTTTTAATGGGGAAGGAAAAGCAACAGAGCATGACCAGTTTGGGTGGGAGCAATTTATCTCAAAGCATGGGTTTATGTCTTTTTTAAATACTTAATAAATTATTCATTACAATTCAGCAAAGTCATAAAATAATTTACCCTAGCTACTGGCTCCAAGAATTTCCCTCGGGGCCTCCCTGGTGGTGCAGAGGGTTAAGCACTGCACTATGAAGCAATCCGAAGCCTCTGCAGCACCAGCCGGCCAGGGAGCAACCCACATGGCGCAGCAGACCTCCCCTGTCTCGCCCGCTGTTCCCCTCAGCAGTGTATTTCACTTAGTCTGCCTGTTCTGTTCGCCTCTCTGTCTCTGGTGAATTCTCTCACCCCCTGCATCACTGGCCTGTACCTCAGCTCTTGTATGCATAAATAAATAAATCTTTAAAAAAAAAGAATTTCCCACAACTGTCCTACACCCACAGAGAGCTCAGCGCTAAAATCAGATAGGGGTTGGAGTGTCCCTCTTCAAGAGCAGAGGGACATATGGCATTAACTACCCATGAAGCTGTACCTCATACCTCATTTTATTCTTCTGCCAGACGATGCAGGCTATTTTCTAAAGTCAGAAAATCCCACCTCAACTTTTCAAGGGTATACTCTAAATATTTTTAATCCAAACACTAACCACTCCCTTCCCCTCAACAAATAACCCTTCTCCCAAATACCAGTTCATGAGACAGACTTCTTTGGAGAGAAAAACATAATAGCTTCAAAGAAAAGCAAATACAATTTGCACTCCATTAGAAAACCTCAAAGAAATTTTGAAATCCAATGATAGGATTTATTTGAATGAATTCTGGTTTTCTACTATAGAGCGACACTGCCAAGAGCACTAGAGCAGAGGAAGACAGCAGTGATATTATCCACCAAAAATGTGAACAATGAAAACTTCTACGTTATTTGGTAGCCTCATAAAAATGGATGGCACACTGCGAGAGCACAGCTCACCCTTCCCCCCAAAAGCACAAGCAGAGAGTAGCTCCTCCCCATACCTGTCTCCTCAACATTCCAGCCGTAGTTCCGAGAGTCCTGCAGAGCTTGTCCTAGCAAAGCTGCCTGGTGCATCAGTTTTTTAGGTATGCAGCCCACATTGACACAGGTTCCTCCAAGACCTGCAACAGCATCGGGAGAGCAGTTTATTATCATCCTATGAAACAAAACGGGCATGCTTAAAAAAGCCAATAAGGGGCCTCCCCTGTGGCGCAGCGGTTGAGCGCTGGGTTGCAAAGCTGCCCGCGGTCTCTGCGGCGCCCATTCGATCCCCGGCTGCTCCCGGGCCACCAGAGGAGGGTCCCACATGGCGCACAGACCTCTCCTGCCGCCCGCTGCTCCCCTCAGCAGTGTACTTTGGTCCTTCTGCCTGCTCTGCTCCCTGCTCTGGCTCTGGTGAATTCTCTCACCCTCCCGCGCTTCTGACTGTACCCAGTGCATGTATAAAACAAAAACAAAACAAACAAAATAAATAAATAAAACATGCCTCTATTAAAAAAAAAAAAGCCAATAGGAAACGTATTCCTAAATTTCAATGACATTTCTAAATTCAGAGTCTCATACACCAAACGCCATGAACAGCATCCTAAGACAAAACAGATGAGCAGATTTCCATACCCCCAAGGCTCAGAACTGACAGCTTGCTGGTAAAGATGCCAGCAACTGGAATTTTACTCTGTGCACAGCACTGTCCAATCACGAGTCTAGGAACATAACTAGCTGGACAGCATGGGGTCTGGGACCACATACAAAATCTGGTGTGGCAAGTGGCCATTTTTTTAAAAAGGCAGTCTACAGCCTTCCTTGACTCTCACAGGATTCATGGGGGGAAAAAAACCAAAAAGTATTTAGCATTCCTGATCATAAAGACCCTGGCAATAGCTTGTTTCCATTAGAACAAAATGTAGGCTGGTGGGAGGTGGACAAAATAGTATAACAAACAGTATCTTTACAGTGAATGTCACAGCTCAAGAAACACAAGCCCTCTGAGAGGGGTGCTACCAGAGGGCCTGTCACTCCACAGTCCAGAGCACCGGAACAGTGCCTGACACAAAACTGACACCTCATGAGTATTTGTTGATAGATAAATTAGAAATTGTGACACTCTCTCACTGGACTGGCTGCTTTTTGCCTCCTTCTAATTCCAGCAGCTGAATCATCTTCATAAAATGTACGTATCACTTTACTCTTTCCTCAAAACTTCCCACTATACTTCAATTAGGTTCAGATTCCTCATTTGGCTTACAAAGATCTGTACAGTTTCAGAGCTGCCTTCTTGCCCAATCTTGACCAAAATAACTATGTCACACCACCCACACCACAATCACCACAAAGGATTCTTAGCTACCTCAGGACCTTTGCATGTGCTATTCTGTGGGTAAGATGGTGAATAGTTGCCTAGAAGGTTTATCCTCAGCTTCTGGCACAGTTAGTTCAACTTATTCTTTTGGCTTCATGTAAAGGCCACCTTTTCAGAGAACTTCCTTGATAATCATCTCAAAATTAAAATTCTTTTACCTATTCCATTCTAGTCCATACATATCATTTTTTCAGTAGCACTGTGTAAAGTTCATACTTCTCTTTTGTCTTCCCACTAAGTTCCATAAGGGCAGGAACTGCACACCTACCATGTTCACTGCTCTGTCCCCATGGCCCTAATCCATGATGTGTTCAATAAATATTTGCTATATAATAAATAATGAACACCTAAGTCACTAACAATCAGAAGAAAGGAGGATTACCCCTTAAGATCTGATTCTAGTTCTTGTTGTGTGGGAGGAAAATTCAAAACAGAAACCTACAGATTAAAAGTTTAAACTCAATTATTAAGCCCCTAAGTATATAAAGTTTCAGATATTTAGCTTTAAGTCATTCTAACGGCTATGAATAGGTTTTATACCACCTTGATTCTGTGCCAAAGAAACTAAATGTTCAACATTTACTGGAATCCATGTTAACTTTAGTTCATGCAAAAGAGGTGCATGTTTTTGGTTTGTTTGGGGTTTTTAGGGGTTTTTTTAGATTTTTTAATTGGTTTTAAGAACCATTTCAGGGCCTCCCCTGGTGGCGCATCGGTTGAGTGCTGGGCTGCAAGGCTGCCCGCAGCCTCTGCAGCACCGGTTCGATCCCTGGTTGCCAGCAAGGGTCCCACATGGTGCGCAGACCTCTCCTGCTGCCCACTCCTCCCCTCAGCAGTCTATTTCGTTGGTCTGCCTATTCTGTTCCCCGCTGTGGCTCTGGTGAATTCTCTCACCCTTGCGCACTTCTGACTGTACCCAGTGCTTGTATAAATAAATAAAATAAATCTTTAAAAAAAAAAGAAAAGAACCATTTCAGTCCAAGTCAATGCAAACTCTGCTCCTAAAACTTCACTTCTATATCTTGTAAATACTTACCCCATCTGGTTCCACGAGGGGTTGGAGTGACAAAATCCAGGACCATTACCTTCTTGTCATATTTGGCTGCTTCCTAGAAAATGAAATTATTAAAATGAGTTAGAAAGGTTAAATACAGTAAACTGGAAACAAGCTGATGAAAGTTCAAGCTGCTTTAATTAAAGCTATAATACCCAAAACATAACCAGTTATTAATCCTGGGAACTTCATATACCAAGATGATGACTGTAACGGTAAGATAAAAATTATGCAAAACCCATAGTTTTAAGGGTAGCCTTAAAGAATATGCAAATTACAGCTGTGAAAATGTTAGAGTCCACAGCTGGAAACCCCAGAATCCTCCCACATGATTCCAAACTGAATCATGGAAAACGATACCATGTTTTCCACGAGCTGAGTGCCATTTCCAAGCCAGTGGTAAGAAGTAACAAAGCAGGTTTACTGCTGCCTGCAATCCTTGATTCAACTTACATCCTATAATATATTTTTAAGTACTTTTAAGCTGCTTCAGTGTCTAGGTAGACTACTGCAGACTTTCTTCTAAAATTGTCAGATTGGGACCTTCCTGGTGGTGCAAGGGGTTAAGCACTGCACTATGAAGCAATCTGAAGCCTCTGCAGCACGAGTTCGATTCCCAGACCTCCAGGGAGCAATCCACATGGCGAAGCAGACCTCTCCTGTCTTGCCCACTGCTCCCCTCAGCAGTGTATTTCAGTCGATCTGCCTGTTCTGCTCCCCACTCTGTCTCTGGTGAATCCTCTGACCCTCCCGTATCTCTGGCCTGTACCCCAGCTCTTGTATGCATAAATAAAACTTTTTAAAAATAAATAAAACTGGGGCCTCCCCAGTGGCGCAGCGTTTGAGCGCTGGGTTGCGAAGCTGCCCGCGGCCTCTGCGGCGCCGGTTCGATCCCCGGCTGCTCCCCGGCCACCAGAGGAGGGTCCCACATGGCGCGCAGACCTCTCCTGCCGCCCGCTGCTCCTCTCAGCAGTGTACTTCGGTCCTTCTGCCTGCTCTGCTCCCCGCTCTGGCTCTGGTGAATTCTCTCACCCTCCCGCGCTTCTGACTGTACCCAGTGCATGTATAAACAAAACAAACAAACAAACAAAATAAATAAATAAAACATGCCTCTATAAAAAAAATGTAAAAAATAAAAAAATAAAAAATAAATAAATAAAACTGTCAGATCACCTAAAATTTTCATGCTAAGAACCAATGGGAAAATAGTAGCATCTGTGAGATTTCCAAATGTATTTTATGAGAGTGATGACAACAACAGGGGGAACCCCGTGTTACAGTCCCCCTGTCTTTCTCTGAGAATAAACTCTGTGTATTAACAATTAGATCCCAAGCTATTTGAGAGGGCTGAGTCTCCACATGTCCTTCAAAATGCCATCAATGTACAGAGTAAAATATATCCAGGGTTACCCCTGAATCACAGCAAAGTACTGCTTGATGTCTGTCAGCATCCTACTCCTCATTTCGTTTGAAGCTAACTTCACTGATTTACATCAGAGGCACCTTAAGAGAGTCTAACCACCTCATCTTTTAAAAGAACCTGTTGGGGAAATGACAGGTGCAAGGCCTCCTCACACATGGAAAATGTACCTCACAGGGCCAGGAGTTTCACCTTAGCCTCCCTTATTTGTACATCCTTTTTCCCCTCGCTCCCAGGCCAGGTAGGAGTCATTGGTTACTGTCATAGCTCACACAGCTGCACAGGAAGCAAGTTGTTTTTCATAATTAAGTTTAAGAAATCCAACTACCCTCCATCTTTCTACTAGGGAAGAGGGGTATGAAGAGGAAAATCATCAAAGTGGGAAAAAATCAAATATTATTAGTATAGAGGATAAGAAATCTATTTAATTTCACACCATTTTTATATACGACACACTTATCAGCTCTTAAAAAAAAAAATCAACCAAACTTAGAAGGAAATTGTGCCATAAAATATGGGGTCCAGTATGTTTTTATCTAGAGAACATAAAGTTCAACCCGGAAAAAAGAGTGACCTTCATGACCTGTCCTGGTCAATGTGTCAATGTCACAAGAGGCGCAAACTCCCCGGAGAGCCTGGTGAGGGGGTGACTGTTCCACCAGTAGCCCAGGGAACACAACACAAGGAGTCTTACCTTAGCAGCCGCCAGTCCTCCAGAGCCCCCTCCAATGATGATGAGGTCATAGTCATAGGACTCGGGGAGATCCTCAGAGCCGTTCATGTTCACTAGCTTTTGAAGTATGCCCTCCTGAAAAGCCTGAAAAAGAGGGAAGGGAAAATAATTTACCTTAAAAGCAGCTGTCTGGAAGGTTTTGTGAGGAAAGCTTTCTTTAAAGAAAAGCAAAAGGAATGTCCAAAGGAAAAAATGTTTGATTTCTATCACAAGTACGTAAATGAGGCATGCCTCACCACACAGCCAGCCGCACACACGGGTCCCTATAGTTCTTCTACATAAGACCCTGATGACTCGACAAAACCAGCTTAGGCCTAAACTCAGTTTGATCATCAACCCGGTTCCTCTGAGAATTTTTAAACTAGATTCTAAATTAGGTTTCCAAAACATCTACGCCATATATTTTTAATATGGCTATCGATTCAGCCATCATCTTGACATCTTACTCTAAGATGGAATATCAAACCCGCTGAGGTCTCAGACTAAGCAATTTAAATGCATAGTTGAATAGCTGTAAACATTAAATGTAAAGGCTGATGCTTGAACAAGGCATTTTATATAAGCATGACTCAATAAAGCAATTTCTTTCATATACCTGTGCATGAAGCCTCCTATAGTTAGCGCTTGGCAGGACAAAAGCTTTATAATGAAAGTGTTGACAGTTTAATTTAAAAAAAAAAAAAAACATTTCATTCCACTAGTTTTTAGACACATCAGTGACATTTCCTATTGCTTGGAACACTGTTCTGGTGTTACAGTTACCAAAACTCTGGTCTAACATGGGGTGATAACTGGAAAAGTTGTTAACACGTACAATAAAAATCAAATCTTAAACTTAACCATCAAAAAAGCCCCCAAACTTACCGTCCCAGACTGCACATTTTTCACCTGCCTACAGTCAGATGTCAGGGGTAACGGGCAGAGCTTAAGGTCAGTAGAATGGGATGCCTGGGATGCAGAAGGGGGTGCGGTGGGAGGTGGAGGGAGCACAGCAGGCACACAGGATGGCTCAGGGACAGAAGGGGAAACAACTGGAAACCAGCAACAGTGAGGACAGGCCTGCACGAAACAGCAACAGTGGGGACAGGCCACCCCGACCGTCTGCACGAACGGTCTAAGGTGAGTTGCAGGTAAACACAGCCAGTATTCATCAACTGGCATTATGGCAGAGGCTCCTCCTCCTTCGACACAAGGCACTGTGGGGTGGAAAGACAGTTTGGTAATAATAATGGCCATTCATATATTCAAAGCAGCAACATAAGCTTCATATATAAAATTCTATTGTTCAGTGGGTCTCAAAGGCTGACTTGCTGGTTTGAAAGAAGAAAAGCAGCTGGATAAATAACACAGCCATTTTTAATCTCAGCCTCATTTTAGCTGCACAGACTACGCCAGAACACTTTCACTGTCTAAATGAAAACCATCGTTCTTGTAACCAGCAACCCCAACATCAACTATTACGTAAGAAAATGCACGGTCATGATGAAAGGCCGCATACTCCCTCCACTACGGTTTATAATCTGCTCTGTGCTGGGATTCTCCACCACACCTGGGTGGTTGTGATTCAAGCGTCAAGTCCAATTAGATCAATGAGTGCACAGATACTACAAAAGAAAGTGAGCCTGAACACTTTTAACTCTGGAAGGTAAAATCAGCAGGAAACAAGCAACTGAAGCATTCAGCTAGCCCCAAACTAAATGTGTTTTTAAATGTCAATCCAATTTAAAGCTGAAATGGCTGCCATTAAGCTCCAGGTAAGCAGTTTTTCACCTGGAATATAAGTAAGATGAACAGCAGAAGACAGCTCCCCCAGCGTAAGGAAGAAAAGCACAGCTGGGGAAAGGAGAAGCAGGAGAAAATAGCCCCCCAGTCTCCTCCAATTACAACTGCTATAAACAAGTGCTGCTGATTGTCGTCGTGGACAAAGAACAGGGGTGCCGAACTATCCTCTCAGGACACCCTTTACAACACGACTTAGTACTTGAGTTATTAATGTGCAGTAAACCTATTAATATTTAGGAAGTAAAATTTTTTTACTAAAATTTTAAATTAAGTATTTTAAATAATGTTAAACCTGAAAATTTAAAGTATTTTTTATTACTGAGGAGAGGCAGACTGGACTTATGTTATCTTTATGTACACAAACACATCACCCTTTCTAAAGCATTCCTTTAAGGGTTAGGGGACTTTTTTTTAATCAACATTCTAGGACCTGAACATAACGTCTTCTTTTCTACGAAGTCTTTCCAGAGTTCCCCAACAACCTTCTCCTTTTCTTTCCTACAGTTCCCACTAACACATTTTGTAGGAACACAGCACAAGCTGTTCCACCCTGAAGCCCCTTCATGTCCTTCTTTAGCTGCAAATCTTCAGTGACCAGAGAGTGAGCTGAACACTCTGAGACCCCACTGGTGCCATCACACAATCCCAGCAACTCTGCAGTGACCAGGACCTTGCCTTTCATCTCTGCATCCCCAATGCTAACTTTCCATGCATGTGCTCAAAAATATTTTGTGAGTAAGACATGGATGGCAGGCTAGTTCCAACTCTGTTATGTATGTACACTGAGAACCTGGGCTTCACTTTTCTCATCCATGAGAAAAAAAAAAAGCCTATGACATAAGTTGGCGCTATAGCCTAGGGACTATGTCCAGTGGATCTGGCTTTTGGTTGGTTTGTTTTTTTTTTTTATACCATCCCTAAGCTAAGGATACTTAGATTTTTTTAAATAGGGGGGTTGGGGGGGGCGAAATATCAAGAGCAATACTTGATATTTAAAAATTATATGAAATTCAAGTTTCAGTATCCAGAGAGTTATAGTCATGCTCATTTGTCTCAACATTGTTGTTTTTGAAACAACAGCACAGTTGATAAGTTTGAACCAAGGCCATATGGCCCACATGCTTAAAATATTTACTATGTGGATTTCTGCAGAAAATAATTTGCCAACTCCTAGGGAAACTGAGTCATTGATGATAGATGTTGCTAGGCGAAAGACACCAAATAGTAATATCAAAGGTGGGTGCAAATCAGAGAGTCACCTACCTGCTCAAGGAAGCAGAGAGAATCAAGGAAGCTGACTGTCCATGATTATCTACATCTTAACAACTGAGCACCTAAACCATCTAAAGCCATATAAAGTAGTGTTCAGGCAAACAGATTCCATTCAAGCCACCTCTCCCAGGAACGTTTTCTTATAGCCCTGACAGTACCACCTCAACCGCTATCCAACCAGTTGTTCTTCAAAGCCGTCACTATCAATGTGGAAATCCAAATCCCTAGAAAGTGCAAATTCATCATCTTACATAAAAGGGAGATGTAGTTTAAGGATTAGGGGTGGGAAGACTTCCCAAAGCTATGCCAAAGGGTCCGATGTGCTCACAAGCATCCTTACAAGAGGGAAGCGCAAGAGAGACACTGCAGTAAAAGACAGTATCTTTTACTTGAAAATGGAGGAGGGAACTGTGAATCAAAGAATGCAGGTGGCCTACCAAAGCTAAGGCAAGAAAATAGATCCTCCCCTCATACTCAGCAAGAGCCAGTCCCGCTGACCCTTTGATTTTGCCCAGAGAAACCAACTTCAGACTTCCAGCCTCCTGAACTGAAGGATAATATGCCCACTCAGATAAATTCCATGAGAGATGAGCAATTCGTGATCACTTCTCTTCCCAAGTGCCTGGAGCAGGGCCTCTCAAGTGCCTAAAGCAGTGGGCACTAAAAATGGTTGCTGAGTGCCAACTCCAGTGGATTCCCCAGAGCAAAAGCAAGCATATGAGTTAGTCATTTTATGTAAAGTGAATGAACCCTGACACAGATGTCACCATGGAAGGTGACAGCATGGACTTTGATCCAAATCTAGAGATTAGGGCACTAACAGGAGTCTGCCACAGTAAGTGCCCACAGTCTGTTCTAGATTTTTTCATGTTATCACTGTATTTAATCCTCATAATAGTCTTCCAGGCAGTTATCATTCCCACCTCATAAGGGACAACGTAAAGCTCCTTAGAGTGTTAACAGACTTGCCCATGAGTCTAGAATTCAGTCCAGGTCTGAATGATTCAAGATCTTCTGCTTTTTCTCACCATACCATACTCGGAAATTCATTTCTCAAAGAACTTGTCCCATATGTCTTCAAAGTTTATCCTTATAGTAAATTTAAGAGGTACTACTGCCACCTAGCAACTCAAAAACCAGAGGGTCAGTAATTTACCCAAGTATCTTGGACTAAAATGTGAGTCAGATCTAAACCCGTATCTTTTTGATCATAAAGTGGTTCTATTATATAAAAAGATTCTAGTTTTAATAAATTTCTGTAGGTCTCCTAAAGTTCAGCTGATTTTACTTTACTTGTGCAATTTCAGTCATCCTAACATTAGTGGGAAACAGATCTGCAGTTTGGTTCATACCTAGTCCCTCAAAGCAAATTATCTATTATGGTCAACTGTTTTCTTCCAGGTCAGCAGCTGCTTTACTTTCAAAGTGATGAGGTGACCCAGGTGTCATGACCACCAGCAAAAATAGAAACAAGTGCTTGCCTTAACAGCTACAACCAAAACACTACCTCCCCTCCAACGTCCACATTCCCCATTAATGCTTTTAGTTACCACTGTTTTAAATGCTCCCAACTAAGGACACTTGGCATATGCTAGAGCAATTTGGTGGGTTTTGTTATTAAGAGTGTCTCTTCAGTCTCCCTAGTGGGGCGGAGGTTAAAGTCTCAGCAGTATCAAGACATCACCAGGGGCCTCCCTGGTAGCTCAAGGTGTTAAGACACAACCTGTGAAACTCACCACAGCCACTACAGCACAAGTTCGATCCCCGGCCAGGGAGGTGACTCACATGGCACAGCAGACCTCTCCTGACTCGCCCGCTGCTCCCTTCAAGAGTGTATTTCGGTCGATCTGCCTGTTCTATTCCCCGCTCTGTCTCTGGTGAGTCCTCTCAACCCCCCCCAAAACTCTGGCCTGTACCCCAGTTCTTGTATGCATAAATAAATCTAAAAAAAAAAAAATGACACCACACCAGCCACTATGGCATGATTTCCATCCCCAGCCAGGAAGCTAACCTACATGGCGCAGCAGACCACTCCTGCTTGCCCGCTGCTCCCCTCAGCAGTGGATTTCACAACAGTAGGTCCTCCTGTTCTGCTCCCCACACTGTCTCTGGTAAATCCTTTCACACACACCCCCACCTCTGGCCTACACCCCAGTTCTTGTATGCATAAATAAAATCTTTAAAAAAAAACCTGCTGGGTAATTATTTTTTTAAAAGGGTGTCCTCAAAAAGCCAATCTCTAGAACACCCAATGGACTTGGTAGAGCATATCAGCAAGATCAAATGACATTTCTATGACTGCTAAGTCAAAGCACAGACATGTCGGTAAGGGTGAGCATTTTTTCACATAAGGGAAAGGAGTGACTAGACAGTAATTGGTCAAATTTCATGAGAAATTCCTATTTTTGTGAAAAACCTGGTAAAGAACTTTCCCCACAAATATGTTAGATGTTTCCTCTCAATCTTGATGTCATTTAGTATTTGGGTTCCCTTCCCTGTACCACACTAGATTTAGGAGGAGAGTGTGTTGTTGTTCCCATGTAGAACAGAGCCATCTGTCAAATCATGCTCACCAGCAAGATCCCACCACAACCAAGGATTTAGTCCCTAGGGGGATTAAGAAAGGCAGCTTACAAGCATGCTCACTGCACCTTCAAAGATCATTTTAATGATCCAAATTTTCAAAAGTAACCTCCAAATAAAGTTGTACTTTATACTTAAAACAATCACAAGCAACAAAGGAAAGAAAAAAAAGGTGCATGGCTTTATAGTGAAGAATATTTGGATAAATCATGTTTCATTTTAAAAGGGTACCGTTTCCAGCACTTATAAAAAAAGCCTTGCTAAGAAATGCAAGATTAAGCTGACAATACCTGAGGCTGTTAAATAATGAGCATCACTGATCCTGAAGGACACACTGTACTAGCAAAACCTACCAAGGAAAACCAGAAGTCCTGGAAGAAAGCAACCAAGTAAATACAGGTAGTAAACAGATAATGTTGTTTGAAATTACCTGAAAAAAATATCTTCCACAGCTAAATACAAGGTACTTCAACTCTTGCCAGGTTTAACATTCAAATGTGACAGTTTCCCAGTAAATGTTCTTTGCTGCAGTGAACTTTTCATAAGTTCAGGTGTGTGGCCCCATGCTGCCCGGCCAAGAATGCCTATGGCCACTTCCTACCAATGGTCACTTCCTACTCACCTGGCAGCACTTAGCTGCTGCCTCACCTACTGCGGTGGAGATACTCTACCTGCTTTTGTTGAGTCCAGAGGGGTTGCTCAGAATATGGCTATCCACTCAACCATCTTACCGAGTTCGCACTGCAACAGGGTTTTTTTTGTAACAATACTGAATATTCACTACCCTAAGGATAGCCTGACTGTTTTTTTTTAACCCATTCTCCCCCAACATGTTTAGGAGTCCTAGATGGACTCCCCTTGGTTCCCTGGGATAGGAAACAATGCAACAGACCACGTGTTTTGAGCATTATCAAATACCTTTTAACTTAAATTCAGAACTGATTTTTATTTACATGGTCTTCAAGGGCAGACAAAAAATTTCCCAATTAACACTGGTGAATTTTTTTTAATATCAGAAGACCATGACAACTTTATAAAGCAGCAAGAAATACACTGGCACAATTCCTGAAGTCGCTGACACTACTTTTTCACTTGACAAGAGAGACAACCGATGCTGCTGCGGGGATTTTACTCTTCGCCTGGCGTTCCTTTAGAAAAACCACAGAACACATCCTACACGACGAGCAACATCTTCAGTAGGAGTTTGTGATCATGGCCTCCGAAATTTCAAAAGTGGCCACAATATTCTTCCAGTCCTGCAAACTCAAAGATATAACCCCTTGCTTCCTGCCCAGGTAGCCGAGGTCATTCCCTTCGCCCATCTGGCTGGTGCTGGTGGGCTCCAGGATGGGCAGCCTGTCCTGGTCCAGCCGTATCCTCGCAAAGCCATCCCTGATGATGAACGACACGTAAAAGATGTTCTCCACAGTACGCGAGAAAGATTTGGGATCAATCACAAACTCAAAATACGACACGGGCGTGTCCGGGTACTTCTGAAAGTACATCTGCAACAACCCCAGGATTCTCTCCACTTCCTTCTCGGTGGCTTCTTGGTTGCTGCTCAGGTCCAGCTTCCTGAGCTTCGTCGGCATGTCCCCCCGTTCCTCCATCTTGCGAACCCGCCTCTGGGGCTCCAGTCGGGGCCTGGGGGCCGCCCGCTCCGTCTTGAACGAGCCAAAGAGGAAGCGGAACGGCTCGGCCTGCAGCGTGCAGGAGGCGGCCTCCCGCTGCAGCGCCGCCCAGAAGGAGCGCGCCACGTGCTCGTCGTAGCCGCCCAGGTCCCCGGGCTCGCCATCTTCCATCCAGTTGAGGCCCACGAAGAGGAACAGGAAGTCACAGAAGGCGACCTGGTTGAAGAAGCTCACGTCGCAGTTGAGCTGCTTGGCCTTCTCCTTGCCCAGATCGGAGGCCAACACCAGGAACTGGGCGTCGAGGGCGGCCTCCCGCGTGCGGCTCACGCCGTCGAACAGGGCGTTGGCCTCCTCGAGGGCTTCCGTCAGGGTGTCGCTCGCCGTGTTGACGATGTCGTCGCGGTGCTGCTGGACGCTGTAGATGAGCTGCCGGTACTGCTTGCGGATCGTCCGGCATTTCTCCTCGTTGTCCGCGGGGCCGAGGAGGGCGGGGTCCAGCTCCACCTCCTCGGCGCTGAGGTCCTCGGAGCAGCCGTCGTCCCCCACGGCCACCTCCACCTTCATGGGCTCCTCCTCCTCCTCCTCGGCCAGCTTCACGGAGGACGCGCTGCCCCGCGAGGTCACGACCAGCTCCTCTCTTCGCTCGACGCCTCCCCTCAGGGACTCCTTCTCGTCAGACCCGTCGGCCATCGGAGGAGCTGAGGTAACCGGCGCGCGGCCACGCAACGTCTCCCCCAACGGCGGACAGAGACGACGTCCGTTAGAACGCCGGGCGCCGAGCGCATGCGCACTAGCGCGCGGGGCGTCCCGCCCCGCCCCCCGGCGGCTCACCGCGGGAGGCCCCGCCCCCCGGCTGGCCCCGCCCCCAGCGGCCGCTGCTAGTTCCCGAGCCAGCCCCGGGCGCCGCCGCGCGCAATAATGGGTCCCGGGGACGCGCGTTCGGGCGTTTCCTCAGCGCTGGCTGTCAGAGAAACACGTGGGTAGCCAGGACCAATTTTTAGGGGGGGGCTAAAGATTCCCCCGCTGTTACACAGTGCCCTGAGGTCGACCTACGTTTTTCGTTCTTTTTATATAATTATTTTTTTAAGAGAAGTAAAAATATCTTTTTATTTTTTTAAGAAGTAAAAATATCTTTTTATTTAACTAAAATAATGGAGATCTCATCCCCTTCCAGAAATTCTTTAGATACTGATATTAGATTTATTTTATTTTATTTTTTATCAATATTTTATTTTATGTTACATCATTCTTACATCTTTTTTCATTTTTTGCACAGTGCATGCATTTTCATTTTGGTTATAGTCCCCATACAATTCCCACCCACCCCCCTTCTTTTTATATAATTAAAAGGTGATCTTCTTCTTTTCTTTCTTGAGAACTCAATCTGGCTTATTAGCTGCCCATCAAGCCAAGGATCATGAAATGCAGAACTTTTATTACAAATAAGGCGAGCTCTGCACAGTTCACTTAACAGGTGGTCTGGGACTCATTCATTAGGCAAATGTACACTGGATTAATGGCTTTCACTGGCCCTCAAAAGTCAAGTCCCCTCCAGCCTACCCCATCATGGGGGAGAAGAGGTTACAAAGTTAAACTCTCTGGTCTAGTCATGTCCTCTAATCATTTAAAGAATGGGATTTTCTACACTTGCGAATGCTTCAATCATGAAGCAGGAATTTTGTAACTTGAGGTCAAACACTAATAGTTATAGAAAGGCACACCAATACATCCTTTTGGTCACACCGCCAAACATCCAATAAGCTGAGTGGAGGGTGAGTAGCTATAGTCTCTGGATAGTAGACCTTAACTCTAAAAGGTGAGCAAAGTCATATAAAGATCTCATAAAGCAAATGATAGGAACAAGAAAGCAAATGCAACTAAGCGATCATGGAAAATTCACCCGGGCTCAGCTCAACAGCCACACAAATGAAAAAGGAGGGGCACATTTGGTTTTTAAAGGGAATATGCATATTCTCACACCCTCTCAAGATAAAAAGCTTTTAACCAGGAGGGGAGGAAGAGAGTAGTGGGGAAAGAGAACAACACACAGCACCTGTCAATGTTGGGTTTCATTTCATTCATTCAACATTGAAGGCAATGTTGAAATTACTCCTGATTTACCAGGAGTAAATCAGCCCTACCTCCCTTCCCAGGAATCTATCACAGACTGGTAAATGCATAAACAGTAAAATCTAGTATTAAAAGTTTCTCCAAAACATTGAAATTACTGTTTGCTCGCTATTTTTCAGGTAGGTATAATTGAGGAAGAAACACATTTTTCAAAACAACATGAATGATGGTTTCTTATCCAGTTTTGTTCTGCCCTGTTGGACTGTTTCTCCAAAGCAGGAACTTGGTTTTCAATCTTGCATTTGAGCTGTTTTCTCATGCATGCATTTGAGTATGTACATTTGAAGGTACAAATTAATGTAGATGAAAAACTTTGTTTCACCACCTAATCCAACTTATTCGGCACAAGAGTAATTTAGCAGATTAGGGAAAATATATACTATACATTGAAAATAAAGGCTGCTTTTCAGAAAGTTAGTCTTATACCTTCTCTGAAATAAAGACAAATGAGAGAAAAAGTAGTGACCCAGGACTAACAAAAGACCATATTTCTCCTGGTTTCTGTCCAATTGCAAACTAACACTTAAAGCCTGTTTTAAACCTTAGATGAAAACACCTAACTCATTCCAAGTCCCAAATCCAAACAAGTTTACTTCTATAGTTAAGCACATTCTTGAGAACTTCTGATATCCACTTGAAATTCAATAAAGGGAATTTATAAAAGAATTCCAGAAGATTAAGTTAACCTTCCCACCCTAAGGAGGCTATTATTTTCTCCTGGCTCAGAGGAGGGAAAACTGGCTGGTACCAATTTGCTCCATCCAGAGACTTTCACCAAAGAATTTCAAAATACTTTGAAAAAATTAATTAATTCTCCCAACCTACTTATAAAGTACTATTACTACCATTTACAAGAATTTCTCAGGAGATAACAGCCTACACAATTTGCTCTGAGCAACAACCCATCAAGACAAGCATGGTGTTATTAAGTTGTGATATCCAGGGCTGAATTCATTCTATGCTAGATCCCTGTCCCTAAGAACTTCAGTAACATTTAACATCATCTGCAGAAAAAGTCATACTTGCATTACATTATGCCTTTTAAAATCTGTCTTTAGAGCACAAGGTTAGATGTGGCCACAAAGTAAAAATCTCAAGTCTAATCATTTCCTTTAATCATTTAAAGAATGGGATTTTTTACACTCGAGAATCCTTCAATCATTAAACAGGAATTTTCTAACTTAAGGTCAAATAACTACTAATAGTTATATAAAGGCAGCTTTAAAAGAGACAGCAATACATCCTTTCAGTTATATTGCTAAACATCTCTGTGACTTCTAGAGAAAGCAGAAGCGGCTTGAAGAAATCACCAGTCTTCTTCCTTCAGCAACACAACTGGCTCAGACAACCTTGACGCTCACCTTGGCCTCCGAGAGAATTTAAATTTAGGTCCTCTCTCCCTGTTTTCCTCTTTCAGGACTTGCTGCCAAAGGCTCGGTGTGGCCCTCCATTTCCTTTCTCCCTTTCCTTGTTTTCTTCCATATTACTCTCCAGTTCCTTTGCTAGGCATTCAGATGTGCTTATCCTGAGCTTTCCCACTCTCCCTGCTGCTCGACTCAAACAGGATGGTATGAAGTGTCATGCATTACATTAAGATCTTTCCACCGCCAAATAAACAACTCCCGTAGGGCCAACTCTTCTGGGGTGCTGGCTTTTTACCGCAGGATTAATCTATAACAAATAGATGTTTGAGACCTCTGAGCCAAAGGCAGGAACCAGTCAAGTCTGAGTCTGCACTGGCTGAAATACCTAAGCTACTACCAGCTACTTCCCTAAACTTTTCTGTTCCTTCTTTCATTGTCTTTTTTCTCCCCTCATCCTGTAACAGGGTGGTCCCCAGTAAAGGGGGAGGTTCCAGGTTCCCTGCCCCATCCAAAAAGAGGGTGGAGCTGAGCAGAGAAAAAGCTGGAGAGGAGACTGAGAAGGAAGGAAGCAGGATGGAGAGCAAGATGGAGACCTGGAGGAGACACATGGAGCAAGGAGACACGTGAAGAAACTGCGCTTGCCTTTTGATCGTGGACTGGGTGACACAGATGTGGGTGAGACCCGTGGGGAGGTGACAATGGCAGCTTTTATCTTAATGTTGATTTTGCTCTTTTCCTTCCAGGCTTGTCTGGTTGTTTCTGGCCCTTTTCTGTGGGTCCCCACTGGAAGATGCTTTAGACTTGTGGCAGGCTTTGGGGCCTTGCTCTGGGCCAATCCCATTCGCATGGAGTTTTACCCATGAGGGGACGGGTAACTTTGGGTGCTTGATTTAGAAACTAGATTCTTTGCCTTTTCTGTATTGTTTCCTAATTGTATTAAAGTTCCTTCCCATTAAAGTCTCATATGTTTTGTGTTGATGCGGCGGATGGCAGAACCCATTTAGAGCAGGCAGGTTTTGGGGGGGTCTGGGGTGCACCTCTCCCTGCCCTGTAACAATCCCACCAAGGTATCTAATATTGAAAAGTGAAAAAAAAAAATGAAGAGATATGGTAAAAGTCCTAGTTTTATTTAAAAGGATATTAGATATATTTTCTCTTTCACCTTAGTTTCCTTTAAGATTGTGTGTGTGTATGTGTGTGTGTGTGTCTGTGTGTATGTTATTTTTGCTGTTTGGCTTTTAGTATTAAAGGGAAAATTTGCTATGTTCAAGCCAAATATCAGTGTGTCTTTTAAAAAAGTTTCTAAAAACACTATGGACAGGGGGAGGAGGCAAAAACTTGAGAGCCAAACTTGACCTGTTAGCTACTAGTGTTAACACAGGCAGGCTGTGTAGCCCCACAGCCCTTGGTTCCCTCACCTGAAATACTATTACTTACATAATAAAGTTATTCTAAGTACTGAATGAGAATTATGTGATAGATCTGGCAATATTTTCAACTAAGGAGGTACATAATAAATCTTAAATTATCCCACAGACAGCAAATATTTAATAAACATTTGACACTAAGTAGGAAAAAAAGGTACATAAACCAGTAGCTACATTCCTAGATGTTATTTTACAAACAGAAAAATGTTTTAAAGGTTAAATTTATAAAGAGAAATACAGGAATATACCCCACAATGCCAGAAATTTGCCAGATGATGAAATTTAAAAACCTAAGTCTTCAACTGAAGGAAGTGAAGGATAAGTCTCTTTACTATATATTCTAAGCAGGCATGAAGAGTGAAACTATATGCAAAATTATGCATTTTTTCCTCCCAAAAGTCTCCTTGGATTTCAGATTCTTTAAAAAAAAAAAAAAGTATGCAAAGTAGGCTTTGAATAACTCCTATTCAAATGAGATGACATTATTCTTACCGAGTAAACAATAAAAAGGAAGTCAAGTCCCCAAAAAATAATTCCAACCCATGCATTGAAATACTTTCACTTATATTCCACCCTTGTGCAGTGTGGTCAAAAGCCATACTCTTAACTGACACTTCAGCTAACCCTGTCCTGGCTGGCTTGCCTGCCAAGTTCAAGAAGGAACATAAACAAGGGTGTGAGAGAAGGAACCTTTCCAAGTTGTAAGAGCAATTGTCAACTCTCTTTGGACACCTCCAAGGACAAGGCCACAAAGACCAGGCTCACCTCTCTGGTGGCCTAGGGGGAGGGAAGAGCCAGAAATGTGGCTTGTAAAGGAGGCAGCCTTGAAGCAACTCAGAGCTGGAGACAGTTCAAATCAAAATCTAGT